CACGGACTCGCATCGCACCCTTCCAATGATGGAGTGTGTTATACCTCCTTGACCGGAAAGAATTCCTTCTGGTCATATGAGGATGTTATACCTCATTGACCGGAAGGGATTCCTTCCGTCAATGAGGTTGTTATACCTCATTGACCGGAAGGAATCCCTTCCGGCCAATGAGTTTTTTCTTTCTCAAAGACAGGAAGGAAATCCTTCCGGTCATGGGAGCAAACGACTCCCAAACCCCCTCAAGCATGAGGGGTGGTTTGGGGCGCCGACTCCCTAAAAATAAAATAAAAAACAATTGGATGGCCGACTCCCAAAGTTGGCCATTGATTTGGAGGAACAACTCCCACCCGACGACCCCTTGACCAAAATGGGAGTTGTTGGACAATTTTTGGGAGTCGTTTTTCCGACCCCCAAAAATTGCCCATTAATAATGTCAATGAGGAAAAAAACTCATAACTCATTTTGGACGCCATGATTATTTCAAAGTGTACTAGTACATGCCCCCATTTTTGGGGAGTTTTGGTTGGTAATTTTACTTTCCCCATTTCTGTTTAAATTGGGGTTTTACTCAATGACCTTTTGGGGTTTTCTTGAATTTCACACCTGTCTATGTTGTTCTAACATTGGTGTCAGCAAATGTGAATTGCAGGTTGGTGCCAGAATTAGATTGGATGACGGTGTTACCTCTCTAAGCATTTTTTTTCTAGTTGTATGTAGATGTAATCATGATTCTATGCTGAACACCACTAATTATGTTATGAAAACTCTTTTTTACAGACTTTAGGAGCTCCAAGAACCCACACAATAAGTGAATTCTCTTGTGTAGTTCTGAATAAAAAAAACTAAATGAAAGCCCCAAGAAATCAGATGTATCCCACATTCTGTGCAGGGCTGAGAGGTGGTGGAGCTAAAACCAAGCAAGTTTTGACTCAAGGCCTTGTTTGAAGGCAAAATAATTTAGAAACATAATGTATAACCTTGTGACATCTGATGAAGTTTTGGCAGGCCTGATCAGATGTCACATAATATGTCAAGAAAAAATATCCAGATATTGGCCACATTAAATTGCTTCCAAACATGGCCTAAGTTCATTGATAAGCTTCAATACCAACCAAATTTCAGTTGCACTGGTATGGATTGCATTTGAAATTGCACAGTGTGGTTTGGATATAAAGTGTGTAATTCTCAAATGAGGGTTCTGAATTGAAGGACAACCACTGTCTAGCCAGAAATCTCAATATTTCTGAATGTATCAAAAGTCAGCTGAAAATCTAGCCTTGAGAGAAACTGAAGCACAGCTTTGGCTTTGACTGGAGTAGTAGGATTTTCATTAAGAAAGAGAATTTCTCAAAATGAATTGAAAACTATACTATGGTAGATTATGATGTTGATCAGTGCCAAATATGGAACTCCTTTCCTAGTGATTCAATTCAAACAATTCCAGCATATAAACATTGCAGTATTTCAGTGGAGACATTAGTGAAACTCAAGATAGTTGCACATCAAAATGCATCATAGTAGTTATTCAAATTTCTTTATACATACTTCAATTCTTACATGAAATATTAAGAGAAAAAAATATCCAGAGACCTGAAACATAACATCAGAACAAACCCAGGTTACCACTCAGGAGATAAGAAAACTGTATTCAAGGTACTTCAAGCAAAAGTCCAAGGAGAAGTCTTATTCTAAAATGTTCCTTATCAAGATGAACTAGTTTTAGAGAACAAAAAGTCCGCATGAAAGAGCTTGATGATATCATTACATTTCTCGAGACACTCGATTGCATCACTTGTTGGACAAGACCAAACGTGATCAAACCATGCCCAACACTTTTTCCCCGCAGGGTAAACGGTAGCCTTTGGAGTCTGAACAGATGTTATCAATTTGATCATGTTTGACCGGGACCTACGGCCCAAATCTGCTGTACCGAGGTACGGAGTACTGTCAAGGCCGCCTGGAGTCTTATCATCATTGCCTCGCCTTACAAGCTGGACAGCGATGACATGCATGCTCAGATGGCTGATATGAAATTCTTTTGTTGGAACATGTTACAATGGGTTGGAACAAATTGGAAGCAATTAGATCCCTTTGACACTTAAATTTTCTATCAAGCTTTGCTTCATTGCTTATCAATATTGGCCGATCAGTGAATAAGCATCCAACAGCAGAGCATAAAACACACCCAGGCTCACTCCAAGGAATGACATCTAAACGGGGCCTTGCAGCTTGTACGTCAGAATCGGTCGACCAGTAAATACGCAGCACACAGGAGATCATAAAGCCCACCCAGGCTCACTCCACAAAATCACTTCTAAGCTTGGGCACAATTACTATTAGTTTTTCTGTGCTCTACAGACTTACACCGTCGATAAGTTGTGGTGTTTATATTATCACTGAAACTGCTGGATTAAACTTCTTGAACCTTATGAGTCCAGGGAAAAAAGTGTTGGGGTTATTTGTAATAGTTAAACTTCATCAAGTAGACCAGTGCCCACTATCACAACAGATCTAAGATCATTCTAAGATTTTTATCTGTTGGCGATAGATCCATGTATACCAACACTTATAAGTCAATGTTAGGGGTTCTATTGATACTTTACAATTGCGTCTTCTTCGCTCTTGCAGAGACAGTCCCGGGATTTAGGAGTGGCGGATCCCATACTTCTCATAACCTTCGTAATTTTAACCCCAAGCTTCAATCAACCGAAACATCGACTGGATTCCGAGATATGAAGGCTGCAGAAACTTCCAAGAAAAGCGAGGTAACTCCAAGTGTAAAAGATTCAAAGAAAGTATCTCCTCGTCTTTCTGCCCAGATTGCCAAAGGCAAAAAATCTGTTATAACAGATTTGGATTTAGCTGCCAAAGACATTGCGATTACAAAATTTACAAAGGCAAGAAAAAATTTGGAGGGTCTTGATAAGATTAATAAGCAAATACACAACAAGATCATTTCAAGTTCAGAAGAATTGGAGATCCTTAAGATCTTATTGAAGGATCACTTTGTTAGCGAATTGAAAAAATATGGTCTTACTGGGAGTTATCAAAGCCGGCGTGTAGGAGCACTGAAAGGCATGGGAGAGAAGATTTCTTCAACGTTACTGAGTATCTGGGAATCAGCTAAAGAGGAATTCAAATCAGAACACCTTTCTTCCAAATTGGATCATGTTTTACATCGTTCTTTGCTAAGAGAGCAAAGCCACAAAAATCACCATGTTTTTCTTCTTTTGAAAAAACTAAGGAAACGTTTGAAAGAAGACCGCGACCTTTTTAAGGAACGAGAGCGCACTACCATCAAAAGATTGTCTGTTATTGAAAATATGGGATTTGAATTTTCATCCGAAGAGGTTCATCTGATTGGTAACATGGCACGTCGTAAACCATATCTCACCCGGAACGACGGCCTTTTAGTAAGCGAAATATCACGGAAACCTCTGGCACAGAGGATGACACCAAAGATTAGGGAGCTGAAATCTCACTTCCTTCGCATAAATAAAGAATCTGAAGATCTCACAATTGTCCAGATCTTGAGAGTACTAGAATGGCTAGAACAAAAAGCCAAAGATGGAGAACCATGGACCAAAGGCGAAGTGCAAATCCATTCGAATATTTCAAGAATGAAAGGTCTCCAATACATCCCTAAAGACTTTTTTGAGGAGGAAAAAGTTTTACTTCAAAATCTATCGGATAAAAGAGATCTACAAAATAAACAAAAAATATATTTCCAAGCCTTTGCTGCCTTATGCGCAGATCCCAAACCTTGCTCTGAGGCAAAACAGGTTTTGGAAAAGTTGAATGATTGGTGGAATGATGGAAAGCTGAGTTATGATAAGAAGGTGTCTCACCTGGTTCTCACACAAAACCAAATGGAGATCATTCAGAACTACAGCTATCAGTATAAGACACAACTTAACCACATGGTCAAAGTTCATGAGAGTATGAAAAAACTTGAGAAATCCTGGAATAAGCTTAGAAATATGGAAGAATTTGTGGAGGCACTATTTGAAGAATTGTCTGTTTCAAGAAGATATTATGCTGCAGTAGTATTGAACTTGATGGAAATGTTAAACTTGAAAATTTCCGTCACAAATAAAAATTATTTGAATGAATTCAAGAGGAGTTTAAAATTGAAAGAAATTACTAAAAGGGAGTTTGGACCCCCCATTGTCCATAAGATGTACCAGACCAGCGGATTTCCAGGTTATCTTCTAGAGTGTGCAGCTGAATTGAATCAGAAAGCTTACAGCTTGAATTCTGACATGAAATATGTGGATTTATTGAACCATCTGAATAGTCAAGAATTGGATACTCTGTACCAGCTACAAGAGCTAACACCAGCAGATCTGACATTCACACACCAGAGCAATTTTGCAAAAACTTTGCAAATTCTTAGAAAAGCAGACTATAGATCAAAATTTAAATTGGAACTATTCAATGAAGAAAATCTGTTCTTTTTGGAAAGATTGATTAAACTCCAGAGGCAAGAAATTGAATTTTCCAAATCAAAACTTTGGAAAATCAAGAATTCTTCAGAAAGAATTAGACAGATTTCTGGCCTGAAAAAATCTACCAAGGGTAAAAAGATAAATGGTCAGGAAGTCATTAAATCCCCTCCCTCAAAGGAAATCAGGTGTTATACCTATCCATCTGCTGTGCGCTTGTATGCAGCGGAGCAAAATGCCTTGCCCAAAGATCCAAAGAATGGGAACACAGCATTAATAAAGTTTACTTAAAAATGGAAAAGAGTGATTATCAGATTGAATAGAGATTTACTGTTTGCTACAGATATACATTCTAATCTTATTTTTACAGCTAAGTTCTGGTTTTCATGTGGTTCAGGAAAATGCTTGCTTACAAAGTTTTTGTTTTCTGGTACATATTTTTGGATCTTTCATTTATTTATCATATTTCTGAGTATTGCAATCAAAATATGGTAATTATGCTGTCAGGATCTACAAGGTGTGGGGAAGTGTGCATTGAGGGTGAGTAGCACCATTGACAGATGGAATGGGTAATGCTTGTGTTGGTTCAATGTGGTTCAATGTTAAGCCAACATTTGGATATGAGGAGGGTATACTTTACAGAATGTTGACATTGTCAGGCATGTATGTATACCTACTGGCTTAAAGAAATGATAGAAGAGCTGAAATAGTTGGTCCCAGGAAGAGGGAAATTCTGAGACTTGAAAGCAGTCATTATTTTTTCTATGTGAATTTTAATGTCCAATTGATGAAAAGAGCATTCATATTGTGCCTGCAGCTACATGTGCCATGTTGGCTAGCTCAACAAGATGTGTTTTTGTTTCTTCACATCTTCTTTTCAAATTATCTTCAAGCCCAACCTACTGCACGTCTCTTAAATGCGCGGAATTCCAAGGTCCTGACCGGGGCTGTTTGCCGATAGATATTGCCCACCGATTTAACACACTGCCGGCCACATTCCAGGGGTCTGCTATACGCACCCAAAATGTTCCCATAGTTAACGGCAGGCGGGATAAAAACTGTTGCAAGCAACTAGTTCTTACTGGCACGGCAGGCAATTCTCTCGGAATGATGAAATTGTGTTGCGAAATGAAAACAAGCTACGAGCAACATTCAGACACCACAAAAGAACAACTTACCCATTGGCCGGATTTGGACTAATGCTCTCGAAAATGGGGTGCTGAAGGATCGTGAGCGGGCCAGAAAAAAATTAACACTTGCTCGTTATGCATTAAGAAGAGTAAATTAAGATTCGAGGTATCTATCAAACTTCATCCAAGCGGACCCCAATAGAGCCCGATGTGTCGACATGGGCTTCTCCAGCCTCCCTTCAAAGCTGCTTACACACCTAATCAAACCCCTACAACTCGGTTCCCCAAGGCTAAAAATCCCGAGAGGCTAAAATAACCATGTCCATTTGGAAGATAGGCATGCGAGGCAATAATCACGAGCCAAGAAATCACTTTCGATATATTCATTAGTAGAGGAAAACATCATTCTTACGAAATCTCTTTAACTTACTGAAAGCATCGCCAATCAAGCTCGCAAGTCGCCAATGAGAGAGCTTTTATGAAAATGTCCTTGGTAATATCAAAACACCGAATGATGAATCCAACAGCAGTGATTGCCATGTTTTTTTTTCGGCTCCCTCATTTATGCTTGATTGTAAGATGACGAGAGTTTGACCTGAGCAGTAATACCCATGAACCCAAAGTTACTTTTGGGGAGGCGGCGCGCCCGACCCCTTTTTTCCAAATAAAAGGTGATTTATTTGTAAGCGTATAAGGTTTAGATGCATCAGTGCAAGATGTGGGCATCGGCGGAGTGATTTTGGAATGCGCCCCCCCCATGCCCCCTCAAATTAAAAGCCAGGTTTGAAATAGCAGAATAAACTAAATTCAATGAAATCGAGAATATTGTGACCTAGTATAAGTTTTTTTCTGAAATAAAAAACGCAGTAAGACGATATAATGGGCCTTAGTATTGAGGAGGCGGCCGCCTTATAAAAGATGGAGGCATTTCAAATGTGGAAGCCAAACAATATCACCTTGCAGCCCCCATAAGCTTCACTCAGGCCACTCATCATCATCGTTGCAAACTGCATCTGGTTCAACTTTCACATCAGGCATTATAGTCTGTTTGAAACAGATTTCTCGTTTACCTACTGGTGCCTGTCGCTCAGATCCTGAAGCAACCATCGTTCAAGCGAAAGCGGCGAATCTCATTGGGTCTAGCCCCCTTTGAAGACTTAAAAATAAAACAAACAAAAAATTATCCCGGGGCAGAAAAATCGACCATCGCAGTGAAAAACGATGACGCAAGTGACCGGGACTTTTCTTCTCTTCATCCTCATTTCTTCTGCGACAATTTTGGGCTCTCCGATACCCTCTACGTCCAACCGATTAGAGCGTCGTTTCAGCGGAAAGGCTACCTGGTTTAAGCCCAACATTGGTGCTTGCGGAGATACCAATTCAAAGGCTGATTACATTGTCGCCATGAATGAAGAACAAGTATGTAAGATTTTTTTATCCTGTACAGAATTTCGGGTCAAATTCTCAAGTCTGGTTTCATCCATTGCCATGTAGTATGGAGACGGCCAACTCTGTCATAAGTCTGTTCACATTGTCAATGAGGCCAGCGGGAAATCGGTTGTCGCCAAAGTCACGGACAAGGTTAGTTTACTTTCTGTATCCTATTTCTTTTCCTTCTCAATTAAGTAAATTGTATGGATGACTTTCTTTCTATTACTTTCAGTGCCCAGGGTGTGACTACGGCTCCTTAGACTTATCCCCTGCTGTATTCAAAGAGTTGGGTGAGCTTAGAACAGGAATTTTACCAGTAAGTTTTTATCAATCATTTGGATCAAAAAGGTTTCAGCTCTAACTTATTTTGTTGGCATTTGGGGTGCCCCTTCTAGATCACTTGGGATTTGATGTAAGAATAGTATGGTACCGGTTGCCATATGGTTGTGACAATTTCCCACTGAGCCTCTTTTTTGCTGGAGTCTATGATACTACAAAAAAATCAAGAAAGATTGTAAAAGGTGTACTCGCCCTGATAGAACTTGAGTTGAACTTGTACAATTAAAAAGTTTAACATTAAACCTCAAACCGTCTCATTTTCCACAGGTACCGCTACTAGCGATGTCGCAAGAGACATTCATTCTCCTACTGACCCTGGGCTTGGGGGAAACTGCAACCTTTTGCCCCCTCTTTTTATAATATTTTCATTCTTTTGTTCCGGTTCCTCCCCCTCCATGCTTCTCAATTTTCGGCTTTTCTTTCACTTCTTCTTTGACTTTTCCTTCCTCATCCGTTCACCAAGGGCATGGCCTTTTGGATCATTTCAACATTTCCTCTTTTATCCTCAGTTCACCAAGGGCATTGCCTTTTGAATCATTTTGACACTGCCTCTCGATTGTTCACCAAAGTCATTGCCTCTTGCTCATTTCGACACTGCATCTTTTTAGGCAACAAATGTTTGAAATCCATAATAAAATATTTCTGAACAATTTCTCTTCTTGCGTTTGTACCTCATCCATCTTGTGCATTTAATTCCTTTTGCGTGATCCCTATCTCCATCGACTATTATTACTTCCTTTTTGATGTTCATCATATGTTAAGCGCACTCGCGTCATTGGCACATTGAAAACATCAAGCCAAAAACTCATTCTGGCGACTCATCGAGCGACAATTCAGATAACAAAGCCAATCTTGTACCCGAATGCTGGATTGATCATTTCAAGAAAGTCAACACTCAAAACATCACAATCCAAGAATTCATCTTATTTGGAAATCAAGTTGCTGGTCTATCATCATGCGGAAAAACTGTCCAGGTTTGGAATCTTGACACAAAAGGTTGTCTTCTATCTCAATCGCTCTGTTTCACGCTTTTGACAAGACATACTGATGACTTGAATCCAATCAATCCTGCATTCAAGATGGGGCAGTCCGATGGTTCCAACCTCTCAACTAATGGCGTTTTGGATTCTATCACCAGTATTACTTTTCGATCAGGTTAGGCATACACATAATGTCTTTTAATGAAGCGAGTATCCCCGATTGATTTATTCGCTCTCTCTCAGAATCAGATACCCAGATGACAGTCACCAGCTCATCACAAGGCCACTTGGTCATCTGGAATGTTAATGAGGGCAGCCAATGACTTCACATCATACGGAAAGCACATGATTCCGGCAGATTGAACGTATACTTCTTACCCGGTCAGCCTGTAGTTGTCACAGCCAGCGGTGATAACAGCATCAAACTGTGGCTGTTTGAAACCCCAACTGGGCTTCCTCATTTGTAACCCATCGAAGCGGACACCAACGGCCTCAAAATTGTAAAATGGATTTGAGTGTAACAGTACATGAATGAGAGCAGGCGGCGAAGCCGCCGCTAAACACTAGTCATTAGTTAAAGCAACATAAAAGTGTTATGTAGGAAATATGTTTATCTACTTGTATCAAACGGAGGCAAAGTGAAAGCTGGGGTGCATTAGCTTCCCATTTTTGCACATGAGTGGAGGCATGTCTAGTCCCAGTTTTTGGAAAGCAAAACACAACAATAACACCAAGTTCGTGGTTGAACTGATCAGGCTACCATATGAATTACACCTAGGCTGTCAGTGTCAGGTACGGTCCCCGATCGCACCGGTGCGCGATTGAACCGCACCAATCTCACCAGTCGGTACAATCCCGCGACATGCAACTTGCAAGTCTTTGCTCTGGCCAGCTTCATGCAGTCCATCTCGATATAACACCGTACGAAAAGAATGATGTCCTCGCTCCCCCTGGTTGATGTCCAGTCCAAGCGAGGCTAGCTCTCCTAATAGAGCAGAGTTTTGATTGATTGTTCCGTGTTCAAGTTAAATATACCTTATCGGGTAAGACTGCATAGACGCGGGTCTGTCTCTTTATACTTAACATCAAGGGGACTGCTCATTTGCAAGCTTCACAGCGAGTGCATATCTCGCATTCACGTTTGTTGCAAGGCAAGACACTTGCGTTCGTTGGAGGTATGATAGGCATTAAATTACACACATCAGATGAACAGCTGAGGCAGAATACAAAACAAGAAATACAACAAGAGAGCCATAAAAGAGAGATTGCATATTTTTCATCTGCAAAGAGCGCTGTAGTTAGTTTCACTGAGTTGGTCCTGATCCATGAAAACAGCAAAGAAACTCACAAGATTAACATAAGCTTCTTGGCTTCATTCAACCCAATCTCCTCCTCGATCTGGGCCTCGATTCTTCATCTTCGTCTTGGCTGTCGTCCCGGCTTCGGTTGTTAAGATCATCATCATCTTGGATTTGGTTTATCGAATCGTTTTCGTCTGGATTCCCAAGACGTCCTTGCTCATGAGGCCTAGGTGGTGTTCCAAGCCTTAGGCGCGAGGGTGGACCTTCGTGCAAGATCAAAGTTAACGCTCTTGGGTGACGGACAGGGGAGGCAGCCGGATTCAGTGGGCGGACCACGGCGGGGTGGGTCGGCCAGTAGCGATTCAAGGCTTTTTTGTCAACATAGCTTGAGCGCCGACGTTTCTTTCGGCCATTCTGAGTCTCATTCTCGCTAGGAGGATTAGCGTCTTGAAGAATCGGGGGGCCAGATATGTGATTAGCGTCGCGTTGGTCTCTTGAAAACTTTGCGACAAAAAAACGTGTTACCTTGGGGCGCATCTGATGCGACTTTACTTGGTTGATCCTCAGAATAGTCATCGCTAGGAGTGGTAGGATCTTGAATGATTGCAAGCAAGAACATCACATCAGTGCCGTGTCCTGAAAAGTAGCTAACCCTCAAACCAGCCTACCACGACTTCCGGATGCATCTGAACGTGATTCAGGGGAGAGAAGGTGTGCAGGCAGTTGGTCGTAATAGTCTGTGGCGGGCGAGGTTTCGTTGAGGAACGCAATAACTACATTTTTTCCCCAGATAGAAATAGGATAGATATCAGTGTTGTTCATATGGAAAATGACCATAGCTCTGAGAAACGCACTATCAAGATGGTGTTGATCCAGGCCGGAATATTCTTGATCGGTCTCGCGTGCCTCTTCCACTTCAGACCGAGTGAAGATATTAGAAATTAAGAGAGTGGCAGGAAGATCGTTAAGCACTCAATGACAAACGATCGTTGTGAATTTTGCTAGAAAAAAGTGAAGCCGACATACCGTCACTACCAGATGCCTCTGGGACAAAGTCGTAAAGATCTTCTGGATATTCAACCGCAGAAAGAATGGCGATACCTGAAAGATGCGTGGTTTACAGAGAGAAAAAAGAGAGATCAGCGTTGCGTGAAGCTCAAAGGTGACGATAGGGCGACAGAACACACTTTCAGCATCTAAGCCTTCATGCGATATCTCATTTTCGTTGGTATCCTCCATGGTAGATCGCGTAGAAAGATTAGAAATAAAAAGGATATGTAACTAAGCTGTTAAGAAGGGAACTAGAAACGATGTAGCGTGCTTTGGACTCTTTTTTTTAGACTTTGTCTTAAGATGGGTTCAAAGAAGTTGTCAAAGATTTACTGCAAGTGGGGGGGGGGGGGAGTATTGGGTGAGGGGAAAGGAAGGAAGACTGGTAGAAGAACTTCCGGAGTGGCCGAAAAGTCTCGCTACTTATATGAACAAATGCTAAAACTGCTGAGCTTGTAATCCAATTAAAGCACGCTGCCTTTGTTGAGCAGCACACCAGCGTTAGTACATTAAAAGCTCCGCCTTCAACTGAGCATTCGATTAAATGAACGCGAGTGATGTGCGAAGCAAAGACAACTGGAACAAAGGCATTCCTCCAGCCTTTGTGACCAAAGCCAACGTACGTAGCACTTGAATTGAATATTGTTCAGCAGTTGCAACACTCAATGGTGGTGATACCCTTTGATGACAGTGTTCAGTTGAGCATCTATTCGAGACAATGGAGCTACTCCGGCGAGTTTTTTCATCTAGGCCCAACTAGAGATCAATTCAATAGACATGACGTAGTCATAGTCCGGCTTTGTTGTGAATAATAAATGAGCCCCAGGTGATAAAGGAAGTGTTATTTCGGCTGGACTAACTGGTGTCTACCCATGCCTCTGGTTTTGGTTGAGTTTGTAGCCGACCGTCCGAAACGGCTTGAAAGTAAGTGTGCTATAGTACCGGCCAGGAGTCAAATACCCGGATCAAAATTTTAGAGCAGATTGCTTGTAAGATTGGCACACCTTCAAGTTGTGTAAGTCTCTCAGCTGACATATGTGATTTCTCCTTTCGCTTCGAATCACCTAAAGGGAAAAATAAAGGGAACGTTTTTGTAGGTCCACTTGATCCACTCTCTCTATCTTGAGCGCAAGAGTGAAAAACAACACTGCCTACAACAAGATTCAAACGACGAAAAAGACGGTATGGTGTCAAGGGTAATGGAGTTTATCAATGAAGCAACATAAGTAATGGCTTTACAATCAACGTCTTAAGACAAAGGAGTACCAATGCGGTTCTCCAGCAAGTTTTTAGGCTCAGCTCAACTTCAATTGAATATACAGCACGTGGTCCCATTACGGCATTTCTGCAAATGAAAATTGAACCTCTAGGAATGAAGAGACTATGGTTTCATCCATGAACTAATTAGTTTCTACTCATGCCTCTGGTTTTAGATGATTTTGAAGCCGACAGTCCGGAACGGGTCAAAAGTACTTGCCATGTAACACCGGCCAGCTCCTGATATTCCCGGTACTCGAGTCAAAAACCTTGATCAACATTGCAAACCAGATTGGTTGTTAGGTCGGCACACCCTTCGTGTTCTGCAAGTTTCTCAGCCGAAATGTGGGCTTTCATCTTTTGAATCAAATGATTCCAAGAGGAAAATAAAGGAAACGTGTTTGTAGATCAGGCGCACTAGATCCAGTCTCCCATCTTGGCCGCAAGAGTGACAAAAATCCCCTCCAATGAGAATATCCCAGCGACAAAAAAGACGATATGATATCGAAGGTGATCGAGTTTACCAATCAAGTATCATAAATAAATACTTTTTGATAAGTGTTTTATCAAATTTTGATCCTGGACGTCAAAAACGTTAGCATCATGCGAAAAGGTATCAAATTTACAAACAACCTGTCGCACTCGAAAGCTTCCGGTATAATAAATTATGATCAGGATCTCATCAGATGAAGATGACATGCTCAAGGAACCATTCTAGAACATGCCGGGTGCAGTCTGGTGACAATCAGGTACATTTCAGTGTTAGTTTCCAACCATCTTCTTACATTGATTTTATGAACATCAAAGTGTTTGTAAAGGGAGAGTTTCATTTCTTTCTTGAGTCTGTCTGGTCCACCTCAACAAGCTTAAGATGAAACAACTTCCTGGGGAATCAAATGACAGGGATAAATTTCTACAGCCATGGCAAGACAAAGAACCCCAGAGATTTTGAGTGGCTAAAAGAAAGCCAAGGGTACCAAGGGCAAAAATTAGGTCCTGAAAGTGAGGGAATGTGGGAATAAGCAGTGGTGAGAGCCTGGGAAGTATGAGTGGGTCAAGGCAACAATGCAACTGCTGAGCTGAATTGAGAAAAGCATCACTGTGGCAGATCAAAGCGTTGTGGAACTACCCTTGGAATGAATATGGAGCTTAGAGAGGGCTAGGTGCCTTAATGGGCTACCTTCCCAGCCGGTAGGTACAAGAGAAATTTTTTCAAAGAGGTAGGGGAACAAATCCCATACCAGAGGTTCAAAATGAGAGCAACGACTTCCAAAACACCCAAGACCCCGAATTGGGTCCTGGGGACCCACTCAAAATGTTCCAGGTTTGGGATTTGTTTCTCCAATTCCAGGGGATTTTTTTTATACAAGTCTCATTGCAAAAATGTTGAAATTTATTTAGATCCAACAAATCCAAAAATGAGGTATGAAGATACATTTTAGGCTCTGTTTGACAGCAATGTATTGCAAACTCTTGTGACATCTGATGAGGTTTTGGTGGACCTAATTTGGTGTCACACAGGATGTGATGCAAAAATAGCAATATATTGCTCAAATCATATTGCTGCCACATGGGGCCTTATCATTACCCCTTGTAGAAAGAGGAATTTCACACAAACAGAGTAGGAGCTTCAAGAACTGAGATTAAGAATTTTGCCTGACTGGGCACTAAAGATTTCCTAGGAAAAATGTTTGGAGAGAAATGAAACAGAAACTGAGACAGCTAATTTTAGTTGCCTCACTGTATTTTAAATCAAACTAGCAGATCACCTAATAGAAACAAGAACAAAAGGGGGGGGGATTGAGATGTAAAAATGAGGGAAACGTATGCTTCAGGTTAAGGTGATGACCCTAGAATCAGCTGTTTTCATAAAACTGCTTATTCTAACTTGCTATGGAGCCTTCAATGAAGTCTTTGAGTATTTTTGGTGGATGGTTCTTTTGTGAAATTTTTCAAGAATTGGTGTTGTTCTCCTGATATGGTATTACCCAAACTTTATAATCAGCAGTAGGTTGAAAACCAAGTCGCCGTGTGAGAGGAGGGATATCTTGGGGGATTTGATTCTTCCATGGGATAATCCTGGATTTTTCAAACTTCCCAAAACTCTTGCTCTTTCTGGATTTTAATTTGTGACCATGAAAGATTTCATTACTTCTGCTGAGGATAAACCCAAAAAACCTGACATCATCTTTCCAGAAAAAGTTCCATTTTTCAATATTTTCATTCTTATAATAACATCCAAGTATATTCACTGAAAGATGGGCTATAGTTAGGTCCTCCTGGGATAAAACTGTTGTAAATGAATTGGATCTACTTGAGTGATAAACTGTGAATTTTTTCTCTGTATTATCTAAAGTGAATAATTTTGCAATCAATTTTATGATTGATTCAGTTCTACTTGTGGCAGCCATTTGAGTTGTACTTTCTCCAACAGCTTGGATATCATGACTTGATTTGCTTCTTGTCACTTCAGAAATACAAGATGAGAAGAAAAGCTGAACTAACATTTGCTCCTTGATATACTTTTCTTTGTTGGCTTCACAGCCAAAGAATTCAAGGATTTGCCTGTTCAAATTCCAAAGGAGGTCAAATGATTTAGTCAACATTCTCAGCAACTCTTGTTCAGATTTTTGTTGAATTGGATGTATTTGTTCTGCAGGATTATCCCCCAAGTAAATCTGGAGGCATCTTCTAATTTCCTTTATAACTGAGTCAGATGTAGGCTGGAACAATTTGTCATGTTTATTTATCTTATGAAGTTGGACCCTTGATATCCATGCCCATGCAGAATTATCATCATTCTTAGAATCAAAATCATACTTGATAGAAAATCTTTCCATTTCTCCCAAGAAAATTGGTTTGACATAATCTGCAACTTCCACAGTTGGCTGATGATTAAGATTGTTTTTAATTGAATCCAACCATTCTTCTGGACGGACAAATCTCCAAGGAATCAGAAAACTGAGATTTCCACTCGAGTCTTTTCTTTTCAGTTCCAAAGATTTTGGGTCTTTCACATTTTTCCCAAATTTGGAAAGTTCAAGAAGGAAATTTTCATAATTTTGAAAAACACAGTCCCATTTTACTTTGTTAGAAACTCTGTAATAGTGACCTACCACTTCAACTGCAGCTTCATTTCTGATTATTTGTGGTTTTGATATGAAAAGTGGTTTGGGGATTAATCCTTGCTGGTATACTTTATAGGCATTCATGTCAGAGACAGTTGCTTGGATTGCTATCATGATCTTTTGATAGATGCTTTGCTCCAGAGGTTGATCTACTTCTGGATATGGATTTGATTTCTGGTTTTCCAAAAACTCATACTCTTTCTTTTATCTTGCCATGAAACCCAGAAACCAATTTTGAAGCCCAATTTGTTCATTGAGATATCTAGGTTCTGATGGTGAAGTCCCCAAAAAACTCAAAATTTTATGATTGACAGCCCACATAAACTCAGTGACTTTTCCCAATGCTTTTCTGAAATGGAGCTCATTTTTGAACCCTTCTACATCATTTTTGTTGTCATTGAAAGGAAAAATGTTCAGGGGCAGGCAATTTGACAACTTTCCATGAGATAGTCTTGCATGATTTTTCAACTCATCATTTAGTGACCCTTCTGAAAGGATCCCAACAATTGAAATCCAAGCCCAAAATTTGGAGTTGAAAGTCTGGTTGGCTTTTGAACCTGAGGGCAATGAATTTTTTTGGATAATTTTCAAAGCAGTCATATCAATATTTCTATTCCTTGGAAAATCCCAAAAATTCATGTCAAAAACAGGCTTGTATCTAACTTTAGATTCAATGACCATATTTTGTTCCATCACATCCTTGGGTTTACTTGATGCCTTTACAATGTTGAGAATTTCTGCATGCCTCCCCATTCTTCCAAGCAATTTTCTTCCTGTAAATCCATCATGGGTGATAGCAATTTGATTTTCTAATGGAGTAAACTTCAATTCAAGATTGGAACCTGCAGGTAGCATGAAATCTGGCTTGTTTGTACCTGTATCAGCCAGAAAAAAGGATCAGTTGATTTTGTGTTCAATGTTCACCTCAGAGTGAATTCATGCTGTTTGAATTCATTTTGGTGTGTCAAGTTTGAAACAATTTTTTTTGCAGCTAAAGATATTTCAACTTACTACTGAGGTGTAACCCCTCAGATTGAAAACCTGACTGACCCAATAGGCTAACTTCATCTTCATCTAAATTGGGACTTCCCAAAGATAAAGAAAGGTCCAATTTTAGTTTTTTTGAAGCCATCTGAAAATGATCTTCATTGGCCTCTGAGGCAAGTTGGACAAGAGATGATGGCTTCTCTCTCCCTTGATCACTACTTTTTGGCACAAAATATTCATCTGCAACATATTATTCATCAAGAGGAGTGTTCAGAATTCTAATCATCTTGTATCATCAGATATTTTGAACCATAAGGATCACAAGCCAAAAGAATGAGCTGACCAAATAGCTTTAATTCTTTTGGTCTTTCATGCTTTCTTGTGAGTGGAAGGTACCCTGTGGTAGTAGCAAGTAAGCCTTCCTTAAACATTCAAGATGGTATGAAAACAAGGATTACCTTCCTGATATAGACCTATTGAGTGGTTTTCATTCAAACATTTCCCAGCTTCTAAAAAGTTTCTTTCTGGGTCTTCAATGAAGCCAAGACTTGGATGCTCAGTTGGTGAGACAAAGTGGTGATGAAGCAAGGGGACAACCAGCCCAAATTTACATATATTGTTCATCTTCAATCAGCTCAAGGTGAAGTCTGGATGATAGACGTAAATCACTTCATGCCCAGTATCATCTGGTGTTGTTCAAATATAAATTGATGAGTCCAGGCAGTTAGAAAAACATTGCAGCAAGACAAGAATTGTCAATCTACTTTGAAACAAATTTCAATCTTGGAAACATGTATTGTTCATGATCAAAACTGAAAAAAAAAAAATAACAATTCATCACCATCTCTGACTTGTCAAATGATCTGCATCCAAAAAAGAAAACAACTTGACAGTCGGAGGGGTTGGCTTTGGTTTCAGCAGTGGTGAAACAAATAAAATAAATGTTTCTGTATTTATTGGTATCTAACCAAATCCACCATTATTGAATTGACTGGTTTGAAAAAATCCACCCTTTTTTAAACATGTTGGTTATTAATTGAATCCCTTTTGGGGCCCATTGATGTGAAAAACGTTTTGGGAAAAGTGGCTGGTTTTGAATGGTGGATTTCCTATATTTGATACCCCTTAATTTATACAAATCAATCAAAATACTTGTATCTGGTCACAAATACAGCCCAGACACAAACCTTGAACTTGGAGTTTTTTTGAGAGCCACACCTTGTACACACATCCCTCATCTTACAAAATTTTTTTGAAGTATCAGAAAAAGAAAAAAAAATCAAAAATATCTGCAGAGACTGTATTGTAATTTGTATTTGTATCTGTTTTGTCAATGGTTTCAGTGTCTTCAAACTTTCTCTTGAATTGTTTGTTTTGAAGGATGTGGAGCCTGATGTTGAGGTGGACCAGGTGAAGGAACTCAAAGTCACAGATGCTAGACCTTGTGACGGTGACTGAACAAGAACAAACATATGTTTTAGATTCCATGAGGAGAGAGTGTTGTTGTATCAGGGCCGGAATAGACTGTATACAACATGAGATTTGATAGAAGCACACTAGCCTATAAGCATTCCAACACCTGATTGAGGGTGCATGGTCTGAGTGTCAACAACCAGAGCTATGTACAGTACCAGAGACAGATGATGTATGCAGGTAGGACCTATCATAACCCATCCGGATCCATGAATCCATTCTACTGCAAGTGACAAGAACAGATTATCAGGATGAGCCGTGCGCTTCTAAACAGTCCAATGATAAACAAATCAATGGGAGGGGGGGGGTTCCCACAGGAGACATATATACAGAAGAAAGAGCTCCGAGCCTAACTAGGCCTCCACGGCGGGAGCGGGAGCGAGCAGCGGAGCTGTCCACGCCAGTGGAGGCCTAAGACAAATGTGACGAGGCCCGCGTGCTGAGTTTTCAAGATTGGGCTGAAAACCGCAATTTTCATCTTTATCCTTATGTAGCTGTTGTCTCATCGACATGTGCTTAATTTCCTTCCCAGGCCATGAAGGCCTGCTTCTTACTCTTCTTTTTGTGTCTTCAGTTTTTTTTTATCCTATGTCGCTATCCTCTTAATGATCATTGAAAACGATCACTTCTTGACTCGAGTTACCGATGCTAAGTTAGATTGCCCCGCTTTTTTTTTTTTTTTTTTCAACGATTTGATTTTAATTAGTAAGCCTAGTGAGATCATACCTGGCATAACGGTGTATAACATGACACCTCGACCGTTGAAAAGATGAATGAGATTGGCCGGATAACTTGAATAAGATAGTAGAGAAGGCAGCTCTTGACCATTCTCGATCGATTCATCCTTGACAAAGATCAGAAAAATGGACCCGGAATCTGGCACTACCGGTCCTTCCGTTTGCAAAGAGAGGAATAGACAGCATCAACCGGCACTACCGGTCCTTCTGTTTGCGACAAGAGGAATCAAATCAAGAAAGTATTGACCGGCACTACCGGTCCTTCCGTTTGCAAGGAGAGGAACCGGACTGTTTGCGATTTGCGACAAGCTGAATCGGAGCGAGAAAAACTCAACCGGCACTACCGGATGGACAAGGAGACAAGAGTAAACATTATTCGGTATTTAACAAGTTTTTTTCTTTCTTTTTTTGTGTTTCTGCAAGAGAAGATCGGGCCTCTGTTTTTCAGCCAGGCTAAAAATTACATAAATAGATGATACAAAGACAGCAGGAACGATTGATAAGAGGTGATTCTTTACTTATTTATTGGTACATATTAAATTATGCTTTTTTGAATTCTTTTCACTTTGAAATATAAGTTTTCTTAAAGCTCCAAGCTTGATCTTCGGGAGCCCAAAATCTCGCGACGTCGCAAGACAGCTTCCTCTAAGCTCTGCAGCATCTTGATGGTTTCCTCAAAGCTAACCCACGCGTCCCTGTGAGTCAAAAAACAAGAAGAATGTCAGGAGCTTCTCTAAACAAAGCATGATTGGGGAAATGAGCCGGCTCCAACTGGTTCTAAGTTGAACGAGTCGGTTCAGATTTGAATGAGCTTGTTCCAAATTGAACGAGTTGGTTCCGATTTGAACGAGTCGATTCTGTTTTGAACAAGCCGACCGAGAAGTTTGATCAGTTTCCTTTATTTTATTTATTTATTTGTCTTGATGGAGAATGAACGATCGATTTCCTCTTTGACTAAGTGTTTGGTGTCGAGAGGATTAATGTTTGTAATAAAACGATGACTTTGGATTTTCAACCAGAGGCTGTAGTTCTGAGATTATGTCGGGTGATATGGTTTCTTTTTTTTGTTTGTTAATTATGCAGATTATATACATAAGGTTTTTGACATAAAAAAGTTTATCGGGTGAGTTAGTCTACCCCAGGAGGATTAATTTTATAAATTTATTATTAATTACAGTTGCGAGGTATAACTTCTGAGTTTTGGCCTGATCAAAAAGATCAGGCAGGTCTTCAAAAATTCAAGACCAAACATCAAGAAAGTTTTGAGGGAGCGTCAGGATTTCAAATCTTGTGACGCTCCCACCAAAACAATCCAAACTCAGCACCTGAGTTCATCGCCCTCTGGCCCAAGTCTCCCCTGCGGGGAGTTCCCTTCGGGAACCGCCTGGCCAGCGCTACGCTGCCAGATGCGCCCGCCGCAGCTGGAGACTTGTGCCAAGTTCGAAAGAGCTCCAATCAGAGTCACTCACATCCATCCATGAGCTGTCTGTCTGAAATTCCAGAATTTTCTTGGGGTACCCATTAGTTTACTCCGGCCCGCATGATGAACCCTAAATCTTGGACAGTCACAGATCTCTTGTAAAGACAGAAGATGGCGTGTTGAAGTTGACCACAAGCCCAAGTGGGGCTTTTTTTTGACAGGAACAGATGCTCCACACAAGATCCAGAAATAAGAAGACCTTCATTCACCAAGAGTAGATCCACCCTCATTGTCCCACACTTCTTCTTGCTTTGTACTCCCCTGCTGATGATGATGATGTACATACATACAACATATAATATGATCAAATCTTTCTCATACTCACACTCACACTCAAAAAAAACATCTTTCTCTTTGCATTTTTGCATCATATTCATATTCAATGCAGTCTTGAATAGATACAGACCTCCACTTATAAGTACTGTAGCGCCCGACTGCACACGCTTTTATAGTTGCAATAATCACCACCAAAAAAAAAAAAAAAAAAAACTAATAATAAATCAGACGCAAAGAACCCATGATCAATGAACAAAAAAAGGACAGTAGGGAAGGGGAGGAGGGGAAGAAATACTTGGGAGAAAAAATAAATCGGGAAAGCCAAGTAAAGGCAAATACATTTTATTTTTCAATCATCATCATCATCATCAACACAACAAAAAAAAAACAATAAAAGAAAAGAAAAAAATAAAGGAAGGATGAAATAAGATTATAAAAGTCCAAACGGATCATCATTAAGATCCGAAGAATTGAGATTATTAAAGCCAATCTTAGAGGAAGAGGAGGGGATAGCGGAAGCGGGGAGGGAGGAAGGGGCGATTTGGGGGAGCCCAGAGGGGGAAGGATTGAGGGCCAAGTTAGAGTCGAACAAGCCCAACAAGTCGTCCAAGGGGTTTGTCGAGCTAGCCGGACGATGGGCCGTGGATGATGATGTTGCTGCAGAGCCCAAGCCCCCGCCACCCATCATCAGCCCATTCGACCCTGACCCTCCTCCTCCTCCTCCTCCAACACCGACACCCACAACCCCGGCTCCTTCGATCGGATCATCATCAAAGTCTAACAGGTTCTCCGCATTCTGGCCTTGCACAACCGTCGCGATCGCTCGTTCTCTTGAGAAATCCTCTTCCCTCCTTCATTTCATTCCATCAAAAAAAAAAAAAATACTCGTCAATCGACCATGAGATCATGAACTAGGAGAGAGCGGAGAAAGCAGACTCAACTCGTTTGCTTTTCGTTGGACTTCATCGGCCCCCAACCTTCCCCTGCCAATAAACGTCTCGGCAGGTTTATGGAAAACGGAAGCTAAGGTCGAGATCTCGTCGATTAATTCCTCCAATAGTGCCGGCGAGACTAACGACGATTGCAACGAAATCATCGGCCGTGCTTTCAATACCACACTCTGTTTTTATCATCCAAAGAAGAAGAAAACTCAATTTCCATTCAAAGCTTTCCAGATATATGAGAGGAATGTCGAGAGAGGACAGAAAAAAACGGACTTTGGTCGCCTCAGGATCAGTAGACAATAACCTCCAATAGATATAAGCCCGATCTCTGATGTCGGGACTGTCGCTAGATTTAGTAGCCAAGGACAAGACTTTCTGGACCAGACTTTGAGCGCCCTCGGGTTTCTTCAAGAACAGCTTGACGATCGCAGTCAGCGTTTGTAATTGAACCTTTGATCAGATCACCAAAAAAACATTTCAGTCCGAAGTTCATCCTTTTTTTTTTCTTGGGAAGAAGTGGATTCATGTTTCCTTAAGGAAAAAGGGGGAACGAAACTGGAAAAGGATCGTCGACAAAAGTGTCAAGAAAGGTAGCCAAGATCTCGTCGGCATTGTCGATTTTTTCCGCGTAATCGCCCAAGATCCAGATCAAAGAAGCCTTGCTTTCAGGCTCGTCCAAGTCGTCCAAATTAGCGCAAAGCGTGGGAATGATGCCTTCATACCGAGACGGATATTTACGAAAGATATCCTTAACAAAAAAAGTTTTCCCCGATGATGATGATGAGATGATGATTAGTAGAGTCAAACAAACTTTTTGACGAATTGGGCAACAGAACTAACTTTGATGACGATGATCGCTTCTTGAACTACATATGTCACTCGAGTCGAGATCAGGTCCAGCAAGACATTGACACATCGTTCGGCGGCGTCGTCGATCTTGATTGCACACTGGCCGATGGCACGGACGGCTTTGCGGACAAACTCGACATCTACTTCTGAGGCATATCTAACCGGTGTCGTCGAGCGTATTTGTGTGTGGGATGGATTCAGCATAGTCCATCCAGATTATGCTCTCAAGTCAGAAACAATCCAAGGGGCTTTTAACATACTCTTTCAGTTCACTCAGGAGCGTATCGACCGTCTTCTCTGTAACCAATTTGACCATGATGTCTAGTTTTTCTACCTTCACATATGCCGGATCATTGTATTTACAAAAGAATACTCGCATCTCGTTTTGGAGTATGTCCGGCTTCCTTTGCAGAATCAGGTTGATGTTTCTTAGTGCAACCCATTGCACGTCAGGTGCGGATGATACCAACGTAACTGAGAAAATGTCAAGTCCAGTCAGTTTCCAAAGCATCTGCCATCTGGGATACTAAGTAATTCATATGTACTGGAAGAACAATGAATTTACCTAAAGGGGGTGCCATTTTCCTCATGATTTGTTTGACAAATTCTTCCCTTCGGACTTCCCTAAAATGGATCATGATAACCTAATTAGATAGGGACAAGTTCACACACGAAGAATAAGCTTAGCCGTCCAAATGCCATCGGAAATCACTCCTTGACGAGAAACAGAAAACAAAACAAAAAAGAGTGAAGGATCACCTTGATAGCGGCGAGAACCACACTAGCATTAGCGTGTTGGAATTGCGGGACGACTCTTTCGCAGATCTGCTCAGCGTCTTTAGCGTCCGTTGCACGGTATTTGGCGATTGCTCCCAAGAGGGCGATCCGGCCCCACTCGGTACATTCGCCCAATGCGACCAACAGTTTCTGAATGACCGCCGAGTCGAGTATGAAGACGCCCTCTGCAGGATCGTTTGCGATTGCCGACTCGTGAATTTCTGTCAGGGCCGTCACAGCATTGGCCACCACCTAAGATCCGTATGGTTGTAAGACGATTAGAAAGAAAAGAGATCGAGATATGTTGGATAGGATGATGATGACTGACCATAGGATTGCTATCGGCAACCATTTCCTTCAGCTGGCCCACAAACCCATTCTCGAGTGCTAATGAGGGCTTCAAGTCGTACAGTTTGGCTACCCCGATCGCAGCCGTCTTGCGCACATAAGGGTTATCATCTTGAAGACATTTACGCAGTGGGTCGCAGACGTAATCGAGTATCTTCTCTGCCCTCAGACAACCCATCGTCCGGATCGATAAGGCCCTAATCAACGGGTTCGGATCTTCGGTGTCCTGAGTGGATTAATCGAATGGTTCGGATTCAGTTTATCCGGATTCATAAATCTGATCAATCGTAGATATAGGAACGGTGAATAGATGATGTAAAATTGACCTTGACGAACGTATTCTGGATCGATCAAAATATCAATTGAGGATCATCTTCAGCAAATGAAACTCGAATGGACCGGTACAGGCCAAGTGCGGGTAGCTTTATTTTTTTTGTCCGTTCAAGCTTGAAAGACAGATAAATGTTACTCACGACGGCTAGAATGACCTGGGAGTTGTCAACAAAGGAATCAATCAGTTTGCCGATTAGCTGATTGTGAATGGTGTTTGAGAATACAGAAGTTCAAAGAGCTGTGGCGACGGACCAGATCAGGATGAGATTTAGCGTAGTTCATGAGATAGAGGTAGACCAATTTTTTCTGCTCGAGGTCGTCGCTTTGCATGTTTTTCAAAACGTCAGGAAACAAGCCGCTCACATCCTATTTATTTAAAAACAAGACAATCCATTCTTCAGCCTTTTTTTTGTTGCTTAAAAAAAAGAAAGTGATCATAGGGGATGGGGATTTGACTGACTTTTCCGACGGTCATGTTAGCGATGACTCGTTTGATAGAATCTTTCCTCTGATCGGCGTATTGGGAATTAAGCCCTGCGCGAAGTTCGTAGTTTTCGCCTACGCCCAAAAAAGAGAGGGTAAGCAGAGTCTGAAGTAGCGAAGAGAAGCGAGGAGTTACCTTTCTTGGAAGCCGTGAACAGTCTAGGCTTGGTAGCCATGACGTGTGTGGTGTGTTTTTGGAGTGGTGGTGGTGGTGGGACTGGTGTTTTTCTCTCTCCTGAGTGATGATGATACTGGTCTGATTTTGCTTGCTCGATCGGTTCTGGTTGTGATGGATTGGGTTTCGTTTTTCTGAAGTGGTTTCTTGAAGAAGTTGTCTGGAGTTGGTTGCTGCTGGTTGAGCTTGTTGAAACAGCACACTCAAACTCAAACACCTAAATACTTATTTAATTCTTTTCTCAAACTCCTAACATTCTCACCCAAAACTCCAACTCATCAAAAAACATACAACATCAGCATCAGAAAGCCTGCATCTACATAAAACAAACCAAGTACAATCCCTCATGAAATCCACACCGTCCCTCCAAAAAAAAAAAAAATAGCCAACACCATCATCAAACCAAATCTCCCTTGCGTCCAAGGAAATCCACTACCACCTTTGTTTTTCTTTGGTTATCACTTGTAAATGAATGCATATCATAGATTATTAGCTTAGTACGGTGTTTTTTTATTTTTATTGTCATGAGTTAGTTTCATTGCTTCTTTCTTTCTTATCCATCATTCATCAAATAATCATCTATTCATAACCCATAAATCACGAAAAAACAAAAGAACTGAATGCGTTATAAACTATGATTGAAGATATTCAAAGAGACAAAAAATTTTTTTTAAATTTGATTAATGATTATCAAAGTCATAAGTAACCCTCCCTCGCGCGCCCCCCCCAAAAAAGCAAGACTAGGAAATGAACAGATAAATAGGATGAAGGAATAAAAGAGAAAGAAACGTAATTTTCAAATACGAAGATAGTTTTTGGACCGATTGATCTGAAGTTTGAAAAAGAAGAGTATAGGGATACACACACGGCCAACAAAAAAAAAAAAAGGGGGGGGGAGCAAGTAGAAGAAAGAGAGAGAAATATACAGAATGCTTAAGACCAAACCAAAGAGAGCCAAAAGAAGAGAAAGCAAAGGGGAAAACGAAGGATCAACGAAGCCGATGAAGAGAGAACCGACTTGCGCCAGCGCCACTGACCGATCTCTGGGATCTCCCGCCAAAGACCGAGGGCGGTTTAGCCGGGGAAGGGTTGGGATCATGGTTCAGGAAGAGCTCGTTTTGGGCCGACGAAGCGGCGACGCTGGAAGCTTGTTGATCTTCGATCTGCGCTTTAGATTGATGATGATGATGATGATTAGAATGGCTACCGAACAGATTGCCGAAGGTGTGGTTTCCAGCTGAGATGCTTCGACGAGTATGGTTATAGATCTCTTTGCCCACATTAGTCGACGAGCTAGCATCGATGATCGAGAGTTTGAACCGGAGATGGCCAGCCGCAGAGTTCGCCGAACCAGCCGATGGATCCCCGCCGGACTCCTCCAAGGCTTGATCTATCTCCGCCTCGAATCGACCTTGGTCCGGATGCACAGTCTCCCAGAGCTTGAGTCGCACACTCCCCATCTCTCGATCCTTCCCTAACTTCCGCTTCTCACACACCACTAACTCCAGCTCGCTCTCCACTCCAAGCTTAGCATCCAAGGTGCAGATCTCATTCCACTCTAGCCCCGTCGTCGGCGAAGCTCGGATCACCTTGGTATCATGGACCGCCTTCCCATTCCGTTTCACCTGAACATACATCTTCCCACCTGGATTCTCCATCCCAACCAAGCCCATCACCACAATGTTCAACTTGAAGTCATCCGTTAAAAGATTCGCCTTCGGTGGCGTCGAATGGGTGGCTTGGCCGGCTGCAAGATCGTTCGATTGGATCCTCTTTCGGGAGTCATTGGCAGAAGCTGTCGGAGGGAGACTCAAATCTGAGTCAAGCACCGGAACTCTCGGAACCGTCTCCTCTACCACGCTCGCCCGTTTGTTCCCCATTCCGGTTGCCCGCCGGATGCCCGCATAGCCAAGCTTCCCGACCCCTCCAACCCCTTTGATCACCCCTCCTCCGACCGTTCCGACCCCTTTGGCAGCCCCGAGTCCGACACCCGCTCCGGCCGAAAGCACGGTCCCGCCTAACCCGGTGGCCACTCGTCCAAATCCACCCGTAAAGTTCGAGGTCGCCTGTCGACTACGACTGATGAAATGCGGTCTGAACGTCATCCGGAACTGGACTTGTCCCTTTTGCTTGTTGTCACTTAGGCTCAGATTGGCGATCACCGTCGTTTGGACCATCGGCTCGAGATTCGATAAATCAATTCGGGCTTGACCAAGCTTATCACTGGCCCCAACTCTATCCCAATCATACACATGAACATAGAACTCGGCACTTGCTCTTGATGGCTATCAGTTTTTTTTACAAAAAAAAGTCCAGAGTTAGAGTCAGAGTTGGGCAGTGTAAATTCAGATGACACATGAAGCCAAAGGTACCGCACAATTTCAACATCAAATCTTTCAGTCCATTTGGGATTGAGGGTTTTCTTTTGGACGCTACTCTTGAAAACCTTAGCGCCATTCAAGACGAACTGAGCATAAGGATCCGAATAGCCGTTGCGATCGGCGGCCATCAGGTCCTTACCATGGTCCAGCAACACAGTTAATAGTCCCATATCTATCAAATCAAAGTTGCTTTTAGACTTATCAAAATTCTCAATGGGAAGAAGAAAATATGTGGCTGACTGTTGATGCTTTCTCTAGGCTCTAGAGTGATCGGAACGGGTATGTATCGACATTGAATTGAAATCGTACTTCGATTACCGCCTTCCAGGTCTTGCAAGACGAAATCATGAGGACCATCCTATTGAGAAAAAAAAAGAACATCATTTGATTAGAAAAAATGTATAAACTTTAGGACATGGGCTAAGATACCAACCAGACAATCGTTCAAAAAGTCCTTCAAGTCACTCGTGTATTCAGCATACACTTCCTCTCGAGTATCTTTATCTGCCACATTTAGCTTCAAGATACACCTCGACCAATCTAATTCTCGGATGAAACTTTCGCCGGTTTCGTCCCATTTAGGATGTGTTGATTTCGATGGTTCAGTCGAATCTATAGGATATATATAATGTTAGTTTGTTCAGAAGAAACTAGTCAGAAAATCGGTTCGAATGTTGGAGGGTGTATCTCTGAATCCAAAACTTACATGAAGGCCAATATCCATCATCCTACACCCAGTTAGTTGACAAAAAAAAAGAAGAAACAGCGATCGAACCATCAACCTTCCATTGATAAGAAAAACGCGCAAGAAAAAAAAATGAGAGGACATACAAACAAGAACTCCAATCGAGCATTTTTCTTAGCAATCACGCCGCCGATGATATTAAAGACCAAGATACCAGATTGATGGGTGAGTAGTTCATCTTTGGACAACTCGACTAACGGCGGGCCGGAATTCTTCTCGTCACGAAGGTGACGAGAATGAGAGCCGAAGGAGTCGATGCTCGGTTTGGCATGTTGATGAGAAAGCGTGACTGCGTCTAATCGCTTAGCTCTCGGACTTCCGTCGATTGAGGAGGCGTCGTATCCTGCCTGGGTGGATTTACTAGCAGGTCGTCCATCGAGCATCTCGAGCGATTCCTTCCCATTCACGCTGTTCCCATTGACTAGTCCACTTCCTTCAGGATTGATTAAAGTGATCGATTGACTGTCCGAGCTAGTCAACATCGACAGCTTATCAGATTGTTGGCCCGTCTTCATCTTATCGACATCCGAAGGTGGTGTGTCAAACCGATTGAATTTGATCGGTTTACAAGCATGGAACTCGACCGTGAAGTTCATCTTCCCCTTCACGAGTGCTTTCTTTCCCTCTTGCTTCAAGTACTCTGAATACTGATGTTTACCTGTTGATTTATAGCCGTTCGTTCCTTCCTCTTTGTTTATCTCGACCAACTTGGACGTCTCTAAATCGATATGCCCTAGAGATCGGTCTTTGGTGAGGTGCTGATAATCCATCACTTCTAATCGAAATGAATCCTTGAGGCTGATAGGTTACTCCTAAGGATCATCAGAACCCAAAACTCGTCACCTTTTTAATCGTTGATCAAAAAAATGACTTACCTGTGAACGGGCACATAAATGATCTCATCGAATACGGGATCCAGATCATTATTCTAACGATACAAATGTTTTAGGTGAAAGTCTCCTTGCACCCTTAAAGGTAGAGAAAAAGGACTGACATGAATCTGAGATCTGGATAAGACGATCCCGGATCTCATCACTCTGACATAAGGGTCGCTCTTTCCACCGGTCAAGGCCTCGACGTTCTTTAGATCTTCAGCTCGATCGAAATGGAACCTCAAGATCCCGATGGGAGGGGTGTAAGCGCTAGCGCCATTGATAGCGCCGGCCATCATGATACCTTTCCAGATGGCCGAGATCCTCAGTTTTCCGGATTTAGCGCCGACCAGGGGGAACCAGTCGAGCTTCTGTTCTCCCGAAGTGAGCTCAAGCAAGTCGGGCAACTTCACGTTCACCGAACCAATCTTGGGATCGTCTCCATGACGATCATCAAACATATTGATTGTGAAGACCGCATCAGGTTTGGAGGAGATCAGCACCTCGGTAAACGCTTCATAGACTGGATTGTTGGTTCGCTTGATCACCGGAGTCTTGAGGATCTCCTTTCCGTTAAGATAGATCTTCGCGTACGGTGACAAGTTGCTAGTCCCTGTGCGCTTGTAGTCTAGTTCTTTGGCCTGATGTAGTACTAGACGTGTAACCCCGGCCGATGTTTCCGGTACGGGTTCTGTTTCTCCATTTTCGAGTTGCTTGGGTACCAAACAAGGATGATATACCATGCTCAGTCTGATCTCGCCCCGCGGTTTGCCTTGGTACATGATTGGGACCATTAAACCTTCTTGTTCAGGTTCGGTCACGAGCGTCTGAAGGTCCACACTCGCAGTACCGAGAGAGGTATCCTTCCTGACCTCGTTATAATCCATAATCTCCATCGTCAATATTTCATTCAGTGAATGAATTAAAAGGAAATGAACGCTTTTCCAATTTGGACTCTGTGTACTATGTTTGACCTTTTTGTAGAGTAAAAGAGTCTAGGAATTAGACATGGTAGTCAAATGAAACTGAACAGTCAAAATCACAAACTTTGGTACGGTCGAGGTTCAGACGGGCCCCAATGGAAAACGTGACGTAGGGATCAGGTGTACCACCACCAATCTTGACAGCCTTCAAGCCTTGAGCGCTAGCAATAGCGATCTGCAGGAGACCAACCGCCGAGTCTACCAGGGCGCCAGCCAACATCTGCTCAAGATTCAGGGTGAAAACGTTGGGGTCGTACCTGGAAAATAGAAAACGAACAAGTCAGAAAGGGGGAACCGCAGACAGATTGGTTTGGTGTAGTCTGACATCATCGGGCCTAGGGAGGCATGGACTTGAGATTCTATAAATCCAGATAGACCGGGTATCATGTTCAAGTCAAAACCGATTGGCTTTAGAATGAAATCGAACTCGGGCTTTTCAAGAAATGATAGGTCAATCAATTGTAGATGTGGGAAATTATTCATCAGTTCTAGCATTATAAAAAAATCAGATAGAAACACGAAAAGTCAGCCCATATTGCCATCAAGAGGGGGATAGCAGCGTTGATGATAACGCAAAACTTACTAATTCGGATCCTGATTGTTCCAGTAAACGAGATATTCTCTACGACTATATCTTTAGCAGCGCCGATGACGCCTTTTCCAAAACGAATAGTGAGTACGATTTTAGGATTGATCTTTCCAGCGGCGGCTTTAGCAGTCAAATCGGAGACATCATTAGGAGTGAAATCGAATTTCCAATCCTAAATTGAGAATACGAGAGTCAGGACAGGGCGGGAAGCGAGGAAAAGCCGAAGAGATGTTTGATCATGATAATTCGCTAACCATGACTACCACATCGTTCTCTGTCTCTGGATGGGACCTTATGAAATCTATTCGTGGTGCTTTGGAGCCTAATGTGAATGTGGACATTCGAATAGATTCCAGGAATGAGGGAGTTGAAGCTACTAAAATTTGGTCGACTGAGGCGACAATGGTAGCCGATAATACCTATAAAATAGTAACAAAAATACACATATATGTTGAGATGATAATTAGATTTTTTTTTTGGGGGGGGGGGGGACCAGAGTCATAGAGACTGACAGGTTCATAGATCAGCCAGAATCGGTTCAGGAAATTGTTTAGCCAATCGACGGTTTCATGGTCTTGGAATAGCCTCTGTTTGGCCAGCTCTCTCGAGACATCACCGCGCACGTTCTTCCTTACTCTACGGATACTGGTTGTATAGTATGTGGCACAAATAGCAAGGATGATACTTTATCAAACAAGAGGATGAAAGTCAATCATTAGAAGGTGTTTGTAGGACGAGTTGAGTTTGTGGATCCACTCACATTAATGAAGCCCATCCTCCGCCAAAGAGGGTGATATAATGGGAAGCAGCAACAGCAAAGAAGATGACAGCTGCATTATGAAACCTAAGTAAGGACGGCGAAAGACAAATCAGTTGTTGAATGAGGAGGGCCGTACTCAATGGAGTGAATGAAAGGCTAGGATGGAGGGACAGACCAGGTTCCGTAATAGACTTCACTCAGGAAGGTTTCGATTAGGTCCAAATGTTTAGCCTCGTCCTGATCAGATTTGGATGATAGATCGACATGCTCGATCTGAGCGGCCCATCCGATCTTGTACCAATCAGGTATTTTGTTGGTGAGTGGTGATTCATTCAGTTGACCAGGAATTGACTCGAGCAGTTGGTTTAGGTTGTCTTGTCCTGCTGTGTGGTCCAGTAACGGCAGTTCTTCTGGGTTCGTTCCATCCGTTAGAATCGCTGATGTGATTTCTTGGGTGATTGCTGATGGCTTGTCGATCTTGATTGTTTTTTTTTATATAAATGTATTTTGTCAGAGTGAAGTTTTAATTTTTGGTATATGTTTGTGCAGTCAGATTGGACAATAAGACATGTCAATCAGGCCGTCAAACATGGTATATATTTTTTTTCTTAAGATACTCACGTCAGTTTTGATTGGGTCGAGGGTTGACTGAGATCGAGTGTTATCGACTGGAGAGATGAGGAGGATCAGGAGTCTGATGATCGAGAGAAAGAGGGAGATGGGAGTGCTTACGTTTCGTGGTGATCGATTTGAGTGAGTCGGAATGATTTGGATGATGGAGATGGTCAGGGTCTGATTGTAGGATAGTAGACTATCGATGAGCAGAAGACAGATGATGGTCAGCTTGAGAAGACAGTGATTTGTAGTAAGTGAGACAGACTGAACTGTTTGAGGTTGAGTATCGAGGGATGACTTCTTCTGCTGTTGATGGTTGATCGCATAGTCGAACTGCTTGACGGACATGGCTTGGTTGTTTTTCTTTCTTCAAGTTCCTTGCAACCACATTCTCTTTGATTCAGTTCTGATCCAGGTCTTTGGTTCTTCTTCTTCTTCTTCTTGACCACACTGTTGACCACTATTAGTGACAACCAGGATGAGCTTATATGTAAGTAGGATGTATGCACAGTAGCCCCTCTCTAACTGATCCCCCTGCTTCATCCCAGGGGTCAACAAGATCACCCCATACCACAGCAAAAGTTTCGGATTCGGCGGTGAACACCGATTTACATAAACACACAAGCTTAACATTTTAAGCTTCTGCTGCTGCTGATTCAGCGAGCCACAACTCTCGTTTGACCCATTCCTGTGACCTGTCTCTCCTATGCGCCCCATCGACAACCGGCCAAACGGATACTTCATCCTCACCCGCTATCCCCCGCTGATCCGATCAAACTCCTACTTCACAAAAAATGACGCTTGAATTGCTGTCCGGGGACACGTTTGAGACTTCGCTTCGGAAGTCGTTTTATCCATCCATTTGGAAATTTATCTCCCAAAAAAAACTTTAATTATTCAAGATTTTTGGAAAGTCTCTTCTTAAGGCCGGAGGACACCAATCCAGCCAAACTGGAGAAACACATTCAAAAACAGACTGTTCAAAGACTGCTGAAGTTTCTTATTATATCCACCAAAGCTTAATGGTATTTGCAACCAAACTTGAAGAAAATAAAAAACACATTGAACCAATCCCCAAAGATGGTCCATGGGTGCAGCAAAGGGAAAGGCCAGATGTCTGTCCAAGTCCCCTTCTTCACATCCTTCCATGCACCATGCTCAAAGTGGCTGTTTAGCAACAGACTGCAAGTTATGAAAAGAAACAAAAAATTGAAAACTTGAGATTTGAGGGCCTATTGTAAATCCCATCTTTAGTTGGTTAAAAAGATGTGATTCACCAGCTTATATAATCCCAATCTCACCTGCCCATTCATCAGTCCTACCCACTCCTCTTCCTAGCTTGCAGGTAGAGCAACTGACTCTCTCCAAGCGGAGCAAACCCTTAACATTTCCTTTTGTGGGTGTTTTTCTTCTTTTGCTTGCTAGTTGTTGGGTGCAGAGAACTGAGTCTCTGAGCTAGACCCAAAATATAAGCTCTCCTAGTGTTTGGTCCTGGAAGCATTAGGCCGGTTTACGTCTGAAGTTCAAGGCAAGTTTTAGCACTTTTATGCCGGATATAATTTTATGAATTTTGTCCAATCTCATGAATCATCAGGTTTGGAGGAATTTGAGAGTTTTGACAAACTTGGAAAATTTTAATGAGAAATGGCAAATGCCACAAAACTTGCTCCAAAGTTCAGACGTGAACTGTCCTATTGTATCTATTTTTGTGTCTCCAGAATCCTCAAAAATGATCAGGGAGGGTCTCTCACTTTGGGTCCTGGAACCTGGAAAAAAAAGGTAAATGTCAAGCAGCCCTCTGCCCCTATATATGTAGTACCACTACCACAGGAAAGAGGGGTTATTTTCTGATTCAGCTTTGATAGAACACATCCTAAAAAAATTTAAATAAAAAAAAAACCTTTTAGCTACCCCCTCCTCCCAAAAAGGCCATCCAGTGCACCCTGGCACCACATTTTGACCTGCTGGCAGGTGGTGAATCATTCATTTTTCCGTGTGTTGATAAATGCACTCCTCCCCCCTCCCCGCCCGCCCACGCCCCCACCCCTCCAAAAGGGGTGTGCAATCCCACCCACCCGTCTCTGAGGGGGGGGGGTGAATTCTCCCGGCAAACCCGCCTACTTGGCTTCTGAGGGTGCTCCCAGACAAGAGGGGGGCATTCAAACCCACCCCTCAGAGACGGGCGGGTGGGATTGCACGCCCCTTTTGGAGGGGCGGGGGCGTGGGCGGGCGGGGAGGGGGGAGGAGTGCGTTTATCAACGCACCATTTTTCCCGTCTTGACCAAACAGATACTTTGTGTCTGTCATCTTGCACATATTTGAGCTTTACTTGACTGTTCATACAATTCCAGTTTTTTTTTTTGGAGGCAGATCAGATTTGTTTTCATCACTTGACCATTGTTCAATCAAGTAACTATCTTATCACCCCATAGAAATCTGATATTTTCTTGGTTCAAACCTCCCATGGTACTCTGTATCTACACACAGCATGAGAATGTATTAGGCACAAATTTGATTTGCAGGTTGATTGAACCAACAATATAACAGGTCCAAATTTGTCTTGATTTTATTCAATTGAATCAGTCTTGTAGATTGATATGAGTCAGTGATCCAGAAGGAGATCACAGTTGGGCCATGTAAACCCATGTAAAACATGTCTCCATCATACTTGTAAGCTCAATCTTGTATTTTTTTTTCTTAAAAGGTATTAGATAAATCAGAAGTTGCTGGCTGAAACTTAATATTTTCAATGAAAATAAATACAAGAAAACATCTTCAATGATCAAATTAGCATTCTGCTGTGATTGTTTTTGACTCGGCTGCAGAATTATGAATTAAGTTTTTCCCCAAATTGAAACAGGTGTTTTTTTTTTTTTCAAGTTATCTTTTCCAACTTGAAACAGAAATGTTTCTTTAAACTGGTTTTCTCCAACTTGAAACAGTTAATCTTTTTTCCAAATTGACAAAATTCAATACTAAGAGACTTTGAATGGCTCTCTGTACCTTCCTTGAATTTACATAGAATTTCTCTTCTTACAGTCAATCGGACAAGTCAGAGACAATGATGAACTTATTTGTTAACAAAACTACATATTTGCAAGGATTGTTTCAATTGATTGATCTCTTTTCTGGCTTAAACTTAAAATCATATTTTCCATTTTGATTCTATCTTTGAATTTTTCAGGGCACAAAATAATTTCACTTCCAGTTTGAGGTAAATTGTTGTTTCCCTTCCACCTCCTTTCAAGCCTAAACCTTTTGCATGTTGAAGATGGGAAATATGTGGAGATTAGGGCTGGTTATCATATCAATGCTTGAACACCATTTTCTACAAGCAATTGATCCACATAAACTCTACTTTATTGAAGATCAGCCAAATAAATTGAAAAAAGAAGAAAACCCCTTCAACAAAAACCACCCAAGAGGTCTATTTCAACCAGGTAAGTTGTTATCATTCAATTTTCATCATCAAAATTAACATTAATAACTTCTGTCTCAGAGGAGCTTTCACTGGGAGGAACAGATGGGAAACCAAAGACATTGAATTTATTTGGTCAGCTTATTATTTCTACTCATCTTCATGGTTGAAAACTATGCTCAATTTAATATCATTGAACTTATGTACTGTTTCTCTGAAAATGATGACTTGCAGATGACCTCCTTGTGCCAAAAATTAATCAAGGCAGAGACAAGGAATCATATATTGTCCAACATTCTGGAGAGAATGCAGGAGATCAGAGTTTTCCTCCAGCTCCAAAAAAACTAAAATTGGATCTCAAGTTATCTTTGGGCCTTCCCAATGTGGATCAAAATTCATTTAGCCTGTTTCATCCACAAGTTTCCCAATCTGAGGGTTTTCATCTCAGTGGTAAGTGAGCTTTGACATAATTTAAGCATGGGAAATGATTGATTTCACTTTGAAAGGGTTTGTATCAGTTACAACCCCCCACAGTCAGGTTGGCCAGGGGTAATGTATTGGTGGGCCCGGCCAATTTAAAATTGGTTAGGGACCAATCTTGAATTTTTCAACTCTGGTCAACCTTAACACCGGTAGCTGCAACTGATACAAACTCTTTGGAAGTGTTTTCAACTTTGAATAAAAAAATGGATGCCAACACCTTGATCGTACTAAGAGTTAAAGACTAGATGCATAATGAGATTCTTTTTCTTGTTATTTTGTACAGGATCAACCCAGCCAACATCCACATATCCTTCCAATTGCAATCATGCATCAACAAGTTTACAGCAGGAGATCCAAAATCCTATCAGCTATAACAGATTCATGGACAAAAACAAACTTGACCAGATAAATCCATCACGCACTTCTAGGAGGATGAGCGACCCAAATTTTTTGATTGAACCTAAGATGGGATTTGATGAGAGTGTCCAAGATGGGATTCAGAATGTTAATAGTGATTTTAAACCTTTCAACGTTATCAAAACAAATGTATCCCCCTCAAGTGGAAAAGTTGATAAAAGTTTCTACTCTAAATACTGGGCTTGGATTTCAATTATTGGAATCCTTTCAGAGGATTCCCTAAGCAATGGGCTTAGAGCTCATGCCAAAATATCTCATGGAAGATTGGCACATTATCTTCCCCTTGAAAAACTTACTGTTACTGAAAACAAAAATAATGTAGAAGGTTTTAAAAATGATCTTCATTACAAAAAAACACTTGAAAGATTCATTGAGTTTATGTGGGCTGTCAACCATCAAGTTTTGAATCTTTTGGGGACTTCACCATCAGAATCTGAATATCTCAGTGAACAACTTCAACTTCAATATTGGTTTCTAGAATTCATGGGAAGGTACAAGAAATACTACAATTTGTTGAAAGATCAAGGATCATATTCAAAAGTTGGAAAATACCATGAGAGACACCTTTATCAAACAGTCATGAGAACAATTCAGGAAACAACCTCTGACATGAATGCTTATCAGGTATACCAGCCAGAATTAACCACCAAGCCACTTTTCATATCAAAAACACAAATGATGAGAAATGAAGCTGTTTTTCAAGTGGTATCTTACTATTTCAGAGCTTCTAACAAAGTAAAATGGGACTGTGTTTTCAAAAATTATGGAAATTTCATTCTTCAGGTTGGAAAGTTTGGGGAAAATTTGAAAGAACCAACACCTTTGGAATTGGACAGCAAATATTCAAGAGAAAATCTTAGTTTTCTGATTCCTTGGAAATCTGTCTGTCCAGAAGAATGGTTGAACTCAATCAAAAACATTCCAAATTCTGAGAATATTTTGAGTTTTGAAGCTTATGTCAAACCAATTTTCATGGGAGAAATGCCAAGATTCTCTGCTAAGTATGTTTTTGAGTCTGGGAATGACAATGATTATGCATGGGCATGGATATCAAGGATTCAACTTCATAAGATGAATAAGCTTGACAAATTGTTCCAGCCCACATCTGAATCAGTCATACAGGAAATTAGAAGATGCCTTTACCTGTACGTGAAGGATCAGCCTATAGAGAAAACACATCAAATTCAACAAAAATCTGACCAAGAAATTTTGAGAATATTGACCAAGATATTTGAACTTCTCTGGAATATGAATAGGCAAATCCTGGAATACTTTGGATGTGAATTCAATGGGGAAGAATATATAAATGAGCAAAGATTGGTTCAGCTTTTTCTATTAGCTTGCATTTCTGGAGTAAAGAGAAGAAAATCAAGCAATAATTATCCTGTTGGGGCAGTTATGACTGAAATCCCATTAAATAGTAGGACTGAAGGAACCTTAGGTTTGATTGCAGATTTATTGATTTCAGATAATAGCAAGAAGAAATTTACAGCTTATCACTCAAGTAGAGCCACTTCTTTCACAACAATTCTATTAAAGGAGGATTTGATGGTAGCCCATACTGCAGTGAATATACTAGGATACTATTACAAGAATGAAAATATTGAAAAATGGAACTTTGCTTTCAAAGAAGATGTGAATTTTTTCACTTATCTCCTGAGCAAAAGTACAGAACTCTTCCATGGTGACCATGTAAAATCAAGAAGAAGTAAGGCTTTTGAAAACTTTTCAGTATACAAGATGATCCCATGGAAGAACAAAATTCCGAGAGGAATGCCTCCTCTAAATCGTGGACTTGGCCATCGAGTGACTTCTGATTTCCAAAATTGGTTAATTCCATACCAGGAGCACATCAATTCTTGATTTAATTTTTTTATTTTTGAAATATCCCATCCAAAGAAACTCTAAACTTCTTCAGATCTTCAAAGATTGATTTTTCATTTCCATTGATTTTGTTCATCAATTTCTTTTTTGTTCATATAGGTTGTTCCAGTTTGGTATATTCTTCAATCAGAAACTTTAGAGGAGATGTCTTAAAATCTATTTATGTTTCTGCTTTTCCAAACCTTTATTATAGCATAAAGAACAACACACTCTAAGGATGGCTATCAGGCAGGCATGGGCTGTCCGCAGGCTGGCCCGCAAAACCTGTGAGATTTGCAGACAGTCCTGGCTGGCCTAGTAGGCTCAAACATTTTTCCCAACCCAAACCCAGGCAGCCCAGTCTTTTGGCAGCTTCTAGGCACCCACCTTTCAAACAGTGACACTGACAACCTCTGGCAACAAGATGCACCAAGTGTACACATTTCTTTGGTACTTTTTCAGTGCTAAGCTTTGAAACATCAATGAAAACGCTTCTTAGCCAAAGTATGTGTCTCCTACTCCAGGTTTGTAACTTGTCAACTTCATACACTCATTCCACACTTGTTAAGTAGCAAGGGTTCCTCCTGATTGCAAACACTCACTCCCTCAACCTGGCTGAACAAGCATTGTTTAGACAAGCTGTGTCCGACCAGCTCTGCGCCCCCATATAAGATCCAGTATGATGTTATACATAAGTTCTGTCGCGGCAGCTGTCGGACCAACTTGTCTGGCCAAGTCATTCTGGCAGAGTCAACACATGTGTCTTCTCTCTTTTTTCATTTAAACTTTGCTGCATTGTATTCTAGGGCATATGAGATTTCAGAATGCTATCGCTTGGATTTTTAATTATGACGCAGAGACAAGACACTCGTTTCGACGAGCATGGATGCGGCTCTGTCGCTGCGTTGTAAAGTCTTTTAAAACTTCAGCAACCTTTGTTGAACCTTTCTTTTTTCGTTCGACAACTTAAATAATTTGGACCCTTTGAAGATGCAAAACAGATGGAACTTGGCGGTGGTTATCAATGTGGCCTTGTTCCACTACCGCTTTCTCTCAACGAGTGAAATACAGGGTCTCGATTTACTCGCAAATCTAGCTTGCCATGCGGAGGATACCAAGGCCGGCTTGAATGAAAACCACTGGACGAGTCTAACTCAGCAAGGTAAACTTTTCTTTTTTTTGCGTTTCTTCTTGTTTGGAGCCCCACTTAGTATTTCATTCAACACTAGGGCGGATTGCACTCGAAAGAGCGCAGGACAAAACAAAAAGAGTATCCGGTCAGCTTTTTTCTTTCTGCTGGTCTTTGTACTCCAACTCCTAGGTAGAGGTGCCAAAAGATAATCGAAAAATTTGACTCGATAAACAAAAATTCTTCAAGATGTGCACATGTTTCCGAGCAGCAGTCCAGACAAAGCATCAGAGACTGTGCCATCCGTCGAGGAGACCAACGAAGATGAGTTTTCTCAGCTAGATTCAAAAAGACGCAAATTGGATCCCGGCGTGTCAGTCGGCTCACCCGTTTCGGGACAATCAGGGTGGCCATCTCAGAGATGCCATCTCAGTGGTAAGTCCACCGATGTCAGCTCTACAAAAAAGACTCACACTCCAAAAGGGACACAGCTAGCCTGGATGTGCGGGTGGGTAAATCCTAAACTCACCCCCAACTGAACGATTTGTTGTTCTTCATGCAGATTCAAACCGGCTGACTAACGCACATGTTAGGGAGGTGGGCCATGTGCTAGGGAAAGATAGTGCAAGTCAAAACGCTGTAATTGATAAAAATCTTTCAGGAAGGAAATCGGATCCAGCCATAGGAAGCCACTCGGGAAATGTGAACAAAATCAATATTGCATCAAAGAGCCTCAAGGTCGAAGAACAAGATTCTCAATTCTTGGTTATCCGCGATGTGGTCTTTGATACGAGCACACAAGATCGATCACGGGATACGAACAGTGAAAGCCAACCTGAAAAAGACGAATTGCTCCCAACTAGAAAAGTCCGGCAAGTTATAGTAGACTCGAAATTTTGGGCTTGGATTTCGATCACCTGGAGTCTCTTAGAACATGAACTCAGTGACCAAATGAAACGCCATGTAGAATCCCGGCACGGAAAGTTAATCCACCACCTCCCCCTTGACACAGCTCTGGGTGCCGACGAAGAACAAACTATAGAAGGATTCAAGTATGATCTCCACTTGAGAAAAAGGCTGGCCGACTTGATTGTGTTTCTGTGGGCTGTTAATCATCAAGTCTTGTCGATTTTGGGAACGTCAGTCGCAGACCCTCGTTATCTAAAAGAACAACGCACGCTTCGGAATTGGTTTATGCGCTTCATCAAGAGGTGCAAGGGCAGATATTCATTGGCAAAAACTGAAAAAAATGCTTACCATCAAGATGAATCTGAAAAATGTCTTGAAGAAAGAGAAATTTATCAAAAGATAACAGAAACAATATACTCGACTTCTGACATGAATGCCTACAGGGTATACCAGGAAGGATTAACCATAAAACCTATTTTCATACCAAAGCCAAAAATCATAAGAAATGAGACTGCTGTTCAAGTTTTAGGTTATTACTACAAAATTATCAACAAGAGAAAATGGCTCTATGTTTTTGGAGATTATGAAAATTTCATTGTCCAAGTTGCTAGTTTTGGAAAGAAAGCAAAAGAAAGCAAACCATTGGAATTGAAGAGCAATGATTCAACACAAGAGCATAGTGTTTTGATCCCATGGAAGTCCTCCTGTTCACCAGGATTATTAAATTCAATCAAGCACAAGTTCAATCATGAACCCATGGCCAATTTTGAGGATTATGTGAAGCCGATTTTCCAGGGAATAACTCCAAACATTTTTACCCATCAGGAGGTTTTTGAGCCCAAGAATACAAATGAGGGGGCATGGGCATGGATATCGAGGATCCAACTTCACAAGATCAACAGGTTTGATAAACTATTCCAGCCGGTTTCTGATTCCATTATCACCAAAATTAGAAGCTGCCTTTGCATCTATTTGAAGAACCACTCTTCCCAAGATACACAACAAATTCAGGGCAAGTCTGACGGGGAGTGTTTGAGACTCTTTAGTAAGGTATTTGACCTTCTTTGGAATTTGAATAGACAAGTTCTTGAATCCTTTGCTTGTGAAACCAATGAGGAAGAATACATCAACGAACAAAAATTGGTGCAGATTTTCTTTCTATCTTGCATTTTTGAAAGACAAGGAAACTTAGCAAAGATTAAGAAAGAACAGGGAGGAGAGATGACTGGAATTGCCTCCAAGAGTCCAAATGAAGCAGTTTTGAAATTGATAGTCAATTTATTAATTTCCGATAATAGAAAGAAAAGGTTTATGATTCCTCACTCCAGCTCAGACTCATGTGGCAAGACCATCTTATTGCAGGAGGATTTGGATATCTCCCGGCTTGCAGTGATGATACTTGGATGTTACTACAAGAATCAAAACATTGAGAAATGGAGCTTCCTTTTCAAAGTAGATGAGCGATTTTTGATTTACTTACTCAATAAGAGCACTGAATTATTTCACCGTGATAGTTTGAAAGCCAAGAAAAGCAAGAGTTTTGGAAGCTTCAAAACCTATCAAATCGTTCCTTGGAAGACCCAGATGAAGCCTGAATTGAAGCTGCTCAATCTTGAGCTTGGACACCGCAATATTGCTGATTTCAAATCTTGGGTAATACCTTACCAGGAAAAAGACACAAATTCTTGATCAATATCTGAATAATTTATGTAACAAACCAGCTCTTCAAAAACACCATCAGTTGTAGTTACAAAATTTAAATAAGATCTGAGATGCATATTTTTTTGTAAATCAAATATAAGAAGCATACAAGGGAGTCCCTTTACATTCCTTGATTTCCTTAATTTTCCACTAAGTTGATTCTTCAAGCACATGTTTCCCTGAACAATGAGGTCATTTTTTTGGTATGAATGTGATTAGGGCAGTTCATGTTGCACCAAAAATGCTGCTGATGTGGCACAAGGTTTGTTTGCTGATGCACAAACTTTGTGAACTTTAATTGTGGGATTTCAACTCCAAAGGGGAGTCTCCCACTAAACTCTGTTGCTTTCCCATAAACCTTACGATAGGGATTCTAACAAGGTTCAACTGGTGATGGTCAACATCAGCAGAACGTGAACTGCCCTATTATGTATGTGGCGTGAACTGTTCCATTTTCAGTCTTTACTAGTTTTGACACTTCTTGATACTAATAGCCTTCAGTAAAGCTCCTTATCAAGCAAAGGCCAAAGTCAAAAGTCAAAAGAACCAAAAAAAAAAGAGGAGAGTGAAGGACTTCCCGTCAACATCTGCGGGTCTCCCAGAACCGATCTAGAGCCTCGAAAACCAAATTCCCCTGCGAGAATCTAGAGTTTTCGAGTCTAGATCGACTTCTGCGAGGGCTCCAGTTCGCACGGGAAGTCCTCCACTGGTCTGCGTTGTGGGACTACAAAAATTAGAGTTTGATTAGTCAGATGCTTGATTATGTAATCCAGATGATCCCCAGTCCTTTGAGAGCACTTCGATCCGAGTGCAGTGGACAACGGCCGAGCAATCCGTCAGCCTTCACCACACTCAAATATATAACGACATCCACCCCCGCAATCCCATCAGCGACTCGCGCTCGACAGCCCGGACAGACGCCTCAACACTACACACTCAAACGATGCCTCTGAACTCCGACCCTTCAACTAGCACGTCTGTATCTCTCTCTCTCACACCTTCATCTGGTATATCGTCGGAACTGTCGATGGGGCTGACTTGATTGGCTCGATGGAACTCAGATTGATAGGCGTTGGGATCTCAGTGGCCGGTCAGTCTTCTACACAATCAAGTCCGATGTATCCGTCTTTTTAGGCTAGCGTTGAGAAGGTTGTTAACAAATCCATAACCATCCATCGACCCTTGGTCGTCTGAAAAAAAAAAAAATATGGGGTTGGATGATGTTGCAGGCAACCTGATGATTTCGGTAGCGTTGAACGTGCAGAAGCTAGCCCACCAACGACTGGAGCCGAGCGAGCCCAGGCCAGCGAAGAAGCCGTCTGAAGCCACCCCTCTGATGATCGACGAGCCCCAAGAGCTCCATGCCCCACCCACCGACCTAGAATCCCCACGCTCCGTATCCCCCGCATCATCTTCCTCGTCCCGCGCCCAGTCTTATCAGCCCAATGATCTGGCCTACTTGTCCTCCCCGCTCTGGTGGCTCGGCTTCGTTATCATGTCCACTGGCGAATTGGGTAACTTCGTCTCTTGTGAGTCTGATTTCCTTGGAAGAATTCGCTAGAACCACCGACTTTTAACTCATTCGCATCGATTGATGATATCGAATAGATGGATTTGCTCCTGCTAGCGTGGTGGCCCCCTTGGGCACGGTGGCCTTAGTCGGCAACTGCGTGGCAGCGCCGGTCCTTTTGGGCGAGAGATTCAAGAAGCGTGATTGGCTGGGGATCGGCCTGGTGATCATCGGGACGATTACCAGTTGAGTTTCTCTCTCTCGCGCTCTTTCCTCTCAACGACGTTTAGTTCTATACTGAGCCTTCGATGACATCTGGCTAACGAAAAAAAAAAAAAAAAAAAAAAGTTGTTCTCAGTAGTCCTAGGACCTCGGAGGCCCTCTCGCCCGACCAACTGGCTCGCGCGATCCGCCAATTGGGCTTCATCCTCTATGCCGCTCTGTGTCTATCCGCCATCCTGTCAGTCCCTCCGATCCACCCATAAATCCGCCACGGCCAATGCTGATCTCTCTCTCTCTCTCTGCTTCTTATCTTGCCGGGTCGGAGCTCACTCAGACTGCTCATATGCCTCTCTAGCACTCAATGGGCGAACCGGTTCATCGGGATCGACGTCGGCCTTTGCGCAATCTCGGGTATGTCTTCTTTTCTTCGCATTCAACAATCATCATCAAAAACAAAAAAAGGTACACTTATATGTGATCATTCTAAGCTCGATCGTGACTTGCTGAACCGCTTGCAGGCGGATTCACGGTGCTGTCCACGAAGGCGTTCAGCTCGTTGCTCAACGTGCTCTTTCTTGATTGGTTCGTGGCTGTGTTGGATCATCACTCTCCTTCCTTGCTTACACATCCCTTTGGCCCTCAATCTCTGTCAATTCTCTTGTCCACAGCTTCCACTATTCCATCACCTGGATTATGTTGGCGGTGATGCTTGTGACTGCGGTCTTACAGATTGTGTTTTTGAACCGGGCGTTGCAAAGATTCGATTCAAAGGCAAGCCTCCATCAGCTCAACTGATTCGCCATCTGCTTGGTATCCTCTTAACTGATAGCCCATCCGGGGGGTTTTTTTTCCTGGTGCTGCAGCACGTAGTGCCCGTTCAGTTTGTCTTATTTACAATCATGGCAGTGATTGGCTCGACGATCCTCTATGGTGATTTTAGGGATTTGGGGTCGGCCCAAGTCGGAAACTTTGTCTTTGCCTGTGGATTCATTTTCACTGGAGTATACATGTTGACCAGAGAAGGGGGGCCGTCCAGGGAAAATGAGGAGACGGCTGACGAGCCACGGAAGCTGCGATCGAGGTGTCGGAATAGCACGCTGACGCCGGTTCCAGAAGAGTCGATCGACTCGTCCAGCCTCACCGACGTGGTCATCCAGCCCGCGGATCCTAGTCAATCGTTTGCCGTCGGCATTCAAGACCCTTCCTCGCATGCTGACACTCTGGCCACCAAGCTCGCCAGTCCCACCTCCTGGAACTCCCTCCAGTTCTCATTCAGCCCTCCCGCTCGACGCGCTCTTCGACGCCAACGCTCCCAGCCAATCCTCTTCCCTAGAGCCTTCGGCACCCCCGGTTATTATCTCATCGCTAGCTCGACCTCGAGATCCCATGGAACCTCGCATGGGTTCCCCGGATGAGTTTTCAAAAGCTTCTCTCTCACTTGATTGAACCCTTCGTAGCAGCAATCATCTTTGTCAACTTCAGTTCCAATTCCAATATCGTATCTTGCATCTAGTTTAACACTTCCAGCCTTTGTAACCATGAGACCTTCTGGACATTCGTGTCCCTTGAGATGCGTCCTTTGTAACGTTGTACTTTAGCTGTTTCTTTTTTTAGTCATCTTTGTATGTAATCCTCTGGTTTTGAATCCTCTCTGACGCAATTTCCATGGTGTCCATACTTGCAATGCACGGCTCCCGGATTGAGCCCAGACAGACAATTGGATCTCAGGTATATATTGGGTGGCGAGAACGCAGGAAAGCTGTTTGGCAAAATGTTTTTTAGGCCCGTTTTCGTTTGGTCTGCGTCCGGGAGGAAGTGAGGATTGATAATTGGATGCACATTCACATCTCCTGCTATTTCAGCGGGCTTTTCATCTCATCATACTTGCTTGACCGAGGCATTCCCAAGGTAAGACGGTAGGTACGGTCATCAGTCATCATCGGGTCTGAAACGGCTGCCAAAAGTGTCTCATCATCAAACTACCACCTTGTGTTTGTGATTGTTTCCTCCCCCCCATGATGATTGAGGACGGAAAGAAGGATGAAAAGTGGCGGTTTGAAGGAGTTGTTTCTCCAGCCTTGCCATATTAGCTTTCGACAGCAGCGAACATCTGAAGAAGGAGAAGAAAAAGAAAAACAGAATGAGGGAGCGTTCTTCCTGGAAACTGGGGCTGCTACTGGCCTGGCTCCTTCATTATATCCCCTTTCTTTCAGCATCAAGTCTGGATATGCTGGTGGATGCAGCCTTGATGGTGGAGGCAGAGAGGCCGGGCAGAAGTGAGAATGATCGAATGGATCGAGATCAGGCAGTCAAGATCGAGACACGGGAGCAAGACAACCCTGAGGAGGCTGGGCCACCAAGCTTCATTGGAAACGGCCCAACAGAGCAGAACATGAATGTGCCCCTCGTTGGCACTCTTGTCAGGAAAAACCCAAGTCGAAAGGATAAAGAGATAAGCTCATTTGGTCAGCCGGATGTCCCCTTGCTCTGTTGGTCCTCATCCTCACAGAGCCAAGATAACCAAACGTGGAGACATCCTGAAAGACTTCTCGCTGTGATTTATATGCTGTAGTAGATGGTGTTGTCGGACGAATATTGGACGGGAACACTGGATCGAAAAACAAGCCATCATCCCTCGAACGACTGAGCCGAATGGCCGAGCCAAAAGCATCAAGTGATAGAGATGGTCAGTGTAGTTGTTTTGTCGGCCTCCGTGCTCCTGAGTTTCCACCGACATCTTGTCAATTGCGGGTGATCCCTTCACAGAACATCGCGTTAGGAGTCAGAGTCTGTCCTTGTCTCGTGTGCCGCCTGGGCACATCCAAGAAGACCATCAACAACCGGCCTCCAAACGTCAAAAGGTCAACCTTGAGTGGTCCACTTGGGGTCGAGTTGCAACTAGCCAGCTGCAACGCTCATCAACTTCTGAATCCCAAAAATCGCTTACCATTGGTATCTCGCCCTGCTTCATCCTTCCAAATCATTCATACCAAGAATGCACCTTGAGAGGTCGAATGGTCCCCAACTGACATGTTTGCTTTGGTTTGATCAAGGCTCAAATGAGTCACTTGGTTCACATTGCGCCCAAGTGAAGCATCTGTTGGGAAATACATATTCGCAAAGGCGAGAGTTCCAAGTCTTCCGGCTGTATAGTGAACCTTCCATCTTCTGAAGCCGTAGGAAATCCTGCCGGAAGTGGAAGCTCAATCCACTCCTTGTGGGCATCGGTTTCCATCATTTCGAGTCTGGGAGAAGAGACAATGGCTCGCGAATTCAAACAGATTGCTCCCACAAACGTGGCTGAAAAGTTGCCGACTGCTTACTTCCCTCGTCTTCGGTACCAAGGGACAAAAAGCTTCAAGTATAACTTTCATGAGACTTATAAGGAAAATTTCTTCTTCCCTCACCGGCCAAACATAGTCAAAAGAGTAGGAAAAAACTTAGGCGAACATTATGAAATAAAGAATAGACTGGAGGAATTGGCTAGGAGTATGTGGACTGTAAATCTTCAGATCTTGGGAACGATCGGGACTTGTGGCTCAGGATTTCCTTACCTTAAAGAACAAATTGCTCTCCTGGATTGGTTCAAAAGATTCATGACTAATTGCAGACACTTCATCAATAGTAATCCAGAAGGATGTGATTCTTACCATCAGTGGATGGAAAGTGCTGAAGGACAGATGTTTGGAAAAATCAGAGAATCAGTAGATGCAACCATCATCATGAATTCATATCAAGTGTACAACTTACAAGGAAGGATTGACCAAAAAGTCCATTTATGTCTCAAATCCACAAACCCTGATTAATCAGGCTGCTGTCAAAATCGTTGGTTATTATTACAAAATGATTGGAAAGAATGGATCGGATGCAATTTTTGTAAGTAATGCGAAGCCTCATCTTCAGCAAGTGGATGTTGCAAAGAGCACTAGAGTGAAAACAGTCCCAGAACTGGTGCATGAAGATTCCGTCAATCGATGTGGCTTTCCAGTTCTTTGGAGAGCCTTCTTCCCGTCACGGATCCTTGACTTAATTCCGACTCAGTTCAATCAAGAACTTATGCATATTGAAGAGAAGATGATCAATCCAGTTTTTGAGGAGGTTAAGATGTATAGAGAAATGGATGATCTTATCACCACAGATAAATTCGAATTGCAAGAAAAAGCAGACAAGCAATGGGTATGGATAGCAAGGGTTAAAATACACAAAATCTTGGGATTTCACAGAGTATTTCAGCCGATTTCTGAAGCAATAGTATCTCAAGTTAGATTAGGTTTGAGTAACATTTCTGGAAAAGAGCTTTCTGAAGGAGAAATGCTCAAAATCAAGGGCCAGTCTGACAAGGCATTTGCAGACATATTGGACAAGATATTTGATGTTCTTTGGGAATTGAACAAGCTCTTTCTCGAATCATTAGCCTGTGAGCCATCTAGTGATAGCTTCATGAAGGAGCAAAGAATGGTCCAACTTTACTTCTTGTCTTCCTTCTCTGATGCAAAGGAAGAAAACATTAGAAACACTCAAGCAGTTGATGGATGCAAAAGGAAAAATTTGATAATTTCACAATTGATGACTGATCTTTTTCTTAAAGAGAAGGATAAAAAGATTTATAAAGTCATACGACGTCATGGAAAAAAGGATCAAAGAGCCATCTTCTTAGTAGAGGATGTGATGATTGCCAAAATTGTTGTGAATGTACTTGGACATTATTACCAGAGCCAGAATCCAGAAAAGTGGGATTTGTTTTTCAAAAGCGAAGAGAGTTTTTTCAACTATCTTTTCAACAGAAGCTCTGCCACCCATTTTGGTTCCAGAGGCACTCATCAAAATAAAAAGACTTATCATGTGCTGACGTTATATCCAAACATCCCTTGGAACAGAACGCTCGACCCAAAGATCCCCAAAATCCGTCATAAACTCGGGCTTGAAAAGAAAGCTAATTTTGAAGCTTTGGTGTTACCCTATGATGATACTGATGAGATTGATCATGAAATTTATTGAGCTCATTTTCTATCTCAAATCAATATCATTTCCACATTTTGTATTCTTTATTAAATAGTTGGGATGCTTCCATTTTAATTTGATAAAGTTAAAAGAAGATATCACCAAAGGTGCAACAGATACAAGACATGTATTTGTATCAGATCGTATTGTCTTTATTTTGAGCCTGATACCGGTATCACTATTTTCTTGGTTGGTGAGAAAATCCATTGTCTTGGATTTGGAGTTACACATGAAAAAAAAATTGTCTTTGTTTTTTTTGGAGGGTTGGAAAAACGACTCCCAAAAATTTGCCGACGACTCCGATTTTGGTTGAGGGGTTGTTGGGCGGGAGTTCTTCCAAACTGATGGCCGACTTTGGGAGTCGGCCATCAAATTACAGTCTGACAAGGCATTTGCAGACATATTGGACAAGATATTTAATGTTCTTTGGGAATTGAACAAGCTCTTTCTCGAATCATTAGCCTGTGAGCCATCTAGTGATAGCTTCATGAAGGAGCAAAGAATGGCCCAACTTTACTTCTTTTCTTCCTTCTCTGATGTAAAGGAGGAAAACATTAGAAACACTCAAGCAGTTGATGCATGCAAAAGGAAAAATATGATAATTTCACAATTGATGACTGATCTTTTTCTTCAAGATAAGGATCAAAAGATTTATAAAGTCATACGACGACATGGAAAAAAAGATCAAAGAGCCATCTTCTTAGTAGAGGATGTGATGATAGCCAAAATTGCTGTGAATGTGCTTGGACATTATTACCAGAACCAGAATCCAGAAAAGTGGGATTTGTTTTTCAAAAGTGAAGAGCGTTTTTTCAACTATCTTTTCAACAGAAGCTCTGCCACCCATTTCGGTTCCAGAGGCACTCATCAAAAATCAAAGACTTATCATTTGCTGATGTTATATCCAAACATCCCTTGGAACAGAACGCTCGACCCAAAGATCCCCAAACTCCGTCATAAACTCGGGCTTGAAAAGAAAGTTAATTTTGAAGCTTTGGTGTTACCATATGATGATACTGATGAGATTGATCATGAAATTTATTGAGCTCATTTTCTATCTCAAATCAATATCATTTCCACATTTTGTATTCTTTATTAAATAGTTGGGATGCTTCCATTTTGATTTGGATAAAGTTAAAAGAAGATATCACCAACGGTGCAACAGATACAAGACATGTATTCGTATCAGATCGTATTGTCTTTATTTTGAGCCTGATACCGGTATCAGTATTTTCTTGGTTGGTGAGAAAATCAATTGTCTTGGATTTGGAGTTACACATGAAAAAAAATTGTCTTTGTTTTTTTTGGAGGGTTGGAAAAACGACTCCCAAAAATTTGCCGACGACTCCGATTTTGGTTGAGGGGTTGTTGGGCGGGAGTTCTTCCAAACTGATGGCCGACTTTGGGAGTCGGCCATCAAATTATTTTTCATTTTAATTTTTAGGGAGTCGGCGCCCCAAACCACCCCTCATGCTTGAGGGGGTTTGGGAGTCGTTGCTCCCATGACCGGAAGGATTTCCTTCCAGTTGATGAGGTATAACAACCTTATCGGCCAGAAGGGATTCCTTCCGGTCAATGAGGTATAACATCCTCATCAAGAGAAGGAATCCCTTCCGGCTGATGAGGTTGTTATACCTCATTGATTGGAAGGAATCCCCTCTGTCTGATGAGGTTGTTATACCTCATTGATTGTAAGGGATTTCCAGTTGATGAGATTTTTGTTTCTTGTCAACCGGAAGGAAGTCCTTCCGCTCATGGGAGCAACAACTCCCAAACCCCCTCAAGCATGAGGGGTGGTTTGGGGCGCCAACTCCCTAAAAATAAAATTAAAAATATTAAAAAATTAAAAAATGATTTGATGGCCAAATCCCAAACCCTCAACCAAAATGGGAGTCGTTGGCAAATTTTTGGGAGTTGTTTTTCCAACCCCCTTTTTTCCCTTCATACAGCCAAATATCTTGTGTATCAGATACGTTTTTGGTGGGATCAGTCATCTGAGACAATACAGAATACTTGTCTGACTTTCCAAAGACAATATGTGAGACAATACAAATAAACACCTGATACACTCTTGTATTGTCTCTGTTGCACCCTTGATATCACCATGCTCCTGTTATCATAAATATGGTTTATTTAAATGTTAATCTTCATGAAATAAACCTTCTGTCCAAAAATTCAGTTAAGATCTATCTATGTGATTTGAAAATGGAGAGAGATAAAATTTGAATAAGCTCAGTGAAAAAATACATTTAATGGATGCCCCATTCTTTGAGCCTTGAAAGGAAGCATATTGGATGGTTCATAGTAGGGGGTATCAATTATAGGAAATCCACCATTGGAAACCAGTCACTTTTCCCAAAAAGAATTTGCATCAATGTACCCCAAAAGGGGTTAAATGGGTAATCAACATGTTTCAAAAAGGGTTGTTTTTTTCAAACCAGTCACTTAAGTAATGGTGGATTTGGTTATATTTGACTAGTATATGCCCCCAAATTTGGGGAGGCTGCATGTTTTTGCCCCGGATGTTGGGTTTTAATCGATGACCTACATATGGGGTTTTCTTGAGTTGGACACCTGTCTGCCTTGGTCTCACGCGGACGTCAAAAAATCCAACAAATGTGAATTGGAGCTCGACACCGGCGTTAGATTGCATGACAGTTTGTTTGGCTCTCTAAGCCTATTTTTTTAGTTATATGCAGATACCCCCTAGTTGCTAGACATTGTCATAGCAAGCTTGGATAGATTCATATATGTATAGCGAGTTGTTATCCCTCTTTGATGACTCAAAACCCAATCACTCCCCCACCTAAAATCAACAGAAGTCTTACCTATATTTGTGAGGCCTGAGCACTTTCCTGAAAGAACATGGAGAGAATTTTGTTGTAAGTATTATATATGAGGTTGTATGTCCTAATCATGGTGTTGGGTTCAGGAAGGAATGAGGAAACAGAGGAAACATGCCGTGAAGTCTTAAAACCTATGTATGTATGGTCCTGGCTGTCTTTCATTGGGATAGCAGTTAGAAGGTACTGCGTATGTGCTAGAAATACGTGTCATGAAATTAAATTAGGTTAAGTTCATTACTTTATACTCACACTGGTCTTTACATCCTTTGATTTAACTTTATTCTTTTTTCATTTAACAAGTGTAGTTTTGATTGGACATTGCACAATGTTCTGTATTGTCAGGTCCAGGTGCAGCTGTGATGCTTGATCAAGTACGAAACAACAGATGCGAGATGTTGTGTTTTGCAATCAATCTTTTATGTAAATATCTGTGTCTGCCAGGATTTATCACAAATCCAGGAAGATATGCCATATAATTTATAAAGGCCACATGTTGAGGTGATTTACCCTTCAGACTTGTACCTCTAAAGATAAGCCAAAATATGCAAAGATTCTGGAAATTTGGCCTACTGATAGTCTGGCTTCAAATCCCCTTCCTCTCAGCAATTGCAAGACGGAGTCTTGATCTCCTTGCAGATACAGTACTGGTGTTGGACAAAGAGAAGACCAATATAATTAGAGAACATCTAATAAATCCAAATCTGCCAGTTAAAACTGAGACAAGCTGGAATGAAAACTCCCCAACGAAGCAAAATCAAAATCAAAGGGAGCGAGTCAGCTCCGGGACAACATTCTTGAAGTTGGGCAAAGAGAGGACCGACGGGATTGGAAGTCAGTTGCTTGATTTAAATCAACCAGCTGAACCCGAGCCAAGCTGGATTAAAGATTATCCAACAGCTCAACGGGGGAAAATCAACCTCGATGCCAGCTGGACTGAAAATCACCCACTAGATAATCAGAATAAGCGAGGGTTACTCCTTCGCACACATCACATCACAGAGCAACAAAACAGAAGAATAAGCTCATTTAGTAAGTTGGATTTATTTTTCCTGTTGGCTGCTGTGGTGCCAAAGATAAGTTAATAATGTATAGAAATTCTGAAAGAGATCCACTTTGATCAATTTGCTATAGATGATGATGTGATGGACAGGAGAACTAGTAAAGACGCAAATCACCCATCGTATCTTGTGGGACATGTCGGCGTCACAGAGTCGAATTCACCACCAAGAACGACCGGATTGGTTGGTCAGTCAAGTCTTTTCTTCTTCTTCTGTCTTTGAGGTCCTGTATATAATCAGAGAAATTCTGACAGGTCACAAATGCTCTTAGGTAATGCCATTTCAGAATGGAGCATGAGTGAAAGAAGCCCGGCGTCGTTCATGTCCCGGGAGCCGCGTGCCCGTGAGACCGAAGCTGATGATGAAGCCAATCAGCCTGCCTCAAAGCAACAAAAAGTGGCTATTGACTTGTGCTCTGAGTTCACCTCGTGGGGTCGCGTTTCTGTTCGCCAGGCAAGGCGTCCAGCTGCTTCTGAATCTCACAGTCGGCATCTATTTAGTAAGTAAACTTGCTTCATCTTTACAACATATCGCCTGCTTCATCTTTTCGATTTTTGGAGCATGACCCTGCCAGAAGGATAAAAGCGACCAACCGAGCATATTGTTTCCTTTGATACAGCTTCAAACCAGACAGGGTTGCGCTGCACGGATGAGGATCAGCTCTGGGTAAATGTTAGCCAAGGAGGAAAGTCATTTCCTCAAAAATTCAAAAATCCTATGTTGCATCGACTTAGTGGATCAGTACAGAATTCTGTAAAACATGCAATCCCGATTGACGCATCCAGTCATCCTAAATTCAAACAAGGAAAAGATCATGAAGAATATAGGTTAATTGACCCTGAAAGCCACGCTCAGGGGAAAGCTACTAGTACCAGTACGCGACATCGTTCTTTGTATCTCAACAGGCATACCACAAACAGATCAATTCAAGGAAAAAATAAAGAGATTTCAGTCCCTTTGAGAGGAGTCAAGACAAAGATAGATTGTCAATTGGGGGCTTCAGTTTTCATTATTTCCAACCAAGTGCAACTTTCCATGGGTAAAGAATTAAGTTGTCATTTGTTTGAATACATTGTGGGAAAGCTGTATAGTGCTTACATGCCCCATTTCTCAAAATCAAGGGCTCAAAACCCAATAGCAGAGAATTCTTATGGTGAATACTATTATCTGAGGCAAAAATTTCGAGAGTTGGTTCAGAGTTTATGGATTGTGAATCGTCAAGTTTTAGCAAGTTTAGACATTTGGAACAACCACCAGCTTTATCTTCAAGTTCAAAGGGGACTCCTGGATTGGTTTGTTAAATTTATAGCAAAGTACAGCAAACAAGAGCAAGTCACTTTGGATGAAAGAATTGTTTTTCAACAGTTGGGGGAAAGTGTTGAAGATAATCTCTATGAGAAGATCAAAAACTCAATTGATGCAAACGTGAATATGACCTTTTATCAATTGGAACAGGAAGGCTCATACAAAGAACCTGTGTTCATATCAAATCCACAAATGCTGAGGAGTGAATTAACTGTTCAACTTGTGGGCCATTATTATGCAGGTGTGGAAAAGGAAAAACTGGACTTGATTTTAAGAAAGTATGAAAACTATAAACTTGGGGAAACATTTAGAGATAAAACCATTTCAGAAGATTTGATAATCAAAGTTGGTTTTCCAATGTCTTGGAGGGTCTTCTTCCCAAAAAGGCTAGTCAAACTGATCTCAAAACAGTTCAACCATGAACAGCTACAAAATACAGTCTTTGTAAAGCCAATATTTCAGACAGAAACTATAGGAGAAATCAAGAATTTTATTTCAACAGATATTTTTGAATATCAAGACAAGGATGGAAGAAGATGGGCATGGATAGCAAGGGTCAGGTTACATAAAAAAAACCAACTTCACAAATTATTCCAGCCAAGTTTTGACCCAATCATCAGTAGAATCAAGAATAATTTGATAGATATGGATGATGATTCATTTGAAAAAGAAAAGGATAATTTTTACAATAATCATTTATTGAGAATATTGGATAAAATATTTGACCTTCTTTGGGAAATAAACAAGAAATTTCTCAAATGCCTGAACTGTGATGTTCCCAGTTTGGATTACATAAATGAGCAAAAAATGGTTCAACTTTACTTTTCATCTTGTTTTTTTCAGGATTCAAAAGATGAAAAACAAACTCACAATCCCAAAAATGAGAAAATAATGAATTTGATGATGGAATTTTTCATTTCAGATGGAGATAAGAAGCTCTTCAGTATTCTGCTTACAAATAGATCAAAGCCAGATGAAATGGCAATTATTTTGGAGGAAGATTTAATAATAGCTAAGATTGTTGTAAATTTACTTGGATTCTATTACAAGAATGAAAACAAAGAAAAGTGGAATTCTTTATTTTCATCAGATGCAAGTTTTTTTGAATATCTCTTGAGCAAGAGCACTGATTTGTTTTTTGGGAGCAATGCACTAGTTCCTAAAAAATTGAGAAATTACAAAGTTATTCCATGGAGAAACAAAATAGATCCAGTGAATCCCAAATTAAATATCACTTTAGGAAAAATGAAAGAAAGAAACCTGGAAAAATGGGTAAAACCTTACCATCAAAATCAATAAGACTTTTCAAGCTACTTGAGGACTCCAATGAAGATTCATTTGCAATGCTTCAATTTTTTCAAAATGTAAATATCTGGAGGAGTTTTAGATGGGCTCAATCAACCTTATCTATTTCAAATTGTTTTTAAAACTGCTATCTCTTGAAGAACTTTCACCAAAATAGACTTCTGCCTCTCAATAACTTGAAAAATTGCATTACCTCTGATTCTGAGTCCTGTCAAACTTCACAATACATTTAAACTCCACGGAATTGTTCATCCTCCTGTTTCACAAGAAAATAATGTTGGAATTATGTTGTAAGTGCCAAGTGGGATGTCACACATTATTTTTTTTTTCCCTTCATTTTTCCATTGAATAATCTTTACCTTCATTTTTCCCTTTTCTGTTTGAAAGACAACCTTTTTCCAAAAAGAAACATGATGATTAATGATGATCCAACAGTCTTTTTAATGTTCTTCTCTGCTCATATTTTGAGAATGAAATGATGCTGAGATTCTGTTACAAGGCACAATTATCTGTCTTTGTGCATTTTTCTATTGAACAGTTGCAATTACATCCAATTGGTCCTCTTTTGCTTGAAACTTTTGATTCTGGTTCCAATCTGTTGGAATTTTGTCTCTCTCTCTCTCCTCATCCCTAAAAATCCTTTTTGTTTATTCTTATAAGTGATAATGATTAAATAATAGAATACAAATTATTATACAATTGTTGTTATTTTCTGTGTGGTATCTTGTCCTGTTGTCTAGTGCTGCAGTCCTTGTAGTCTTCGAAACCTGGTCTAGTCTTTATCAATAGTCATTTACTCCAGTCATTTATTCAAGAATTTGTTTATTTTTGTTATTCATTATGATATTCATTTTTCTCTCAGAACCACAGATTGAACTTGATGTACGTAGTCTATTTAACACGTAGGCTCTACTAAGCAAATAAAAATCATTGGTTCTTTCTCTCCTTTTCCGACCCTCGAGCCACTCCAACAAAAATCCTTCTTCTTGTTGCCCCAAAAAATTTTCTCTTCTCATAAAATTCTCCGCCTCTCCGGTAAAAATTTCTTCACAATCTATAGTAAGTCCTTCTGAAGTCTAACTCTACTCTGAATCAAACTTTTCACTTCCATTTTTTTCATTCCAAAACCTGAATCTGAAGATGACTCTACTGGCTGCACTTTCACAATTCTTACCACAAAGATTTTGTAATTTTGTTTTGTTTAAATGTTATAGGAATCTTGATCACGCAAACTGTCAGAAAACTAATTAAGATACCATATAGATGGCCTTACTAGAAACTGGTAGCAGTTTCCAAGATGAGAGGCATCCTTTTTAAAGTTTCCAACTATTCATGTGAGGTCTCAGTTTAAATTCTAGAATCAGGTTTTCTAGTGAGGCCTCCTTGGAAAGAGGAAATTTGTGTGACAAACCTTCACTTTCCCCTGAGTTTAGAAAAGACCAATTTATGCCAGAATCCTGCCAACAACACAAAAATTTGTAAATGATTTTGATGTAATTATCACTCCAATTCATCAATATTGCTATTTATTCAATTCTCCTTTGAAAAAGAGGAAACATTTATGAATCAATAGCAAGATTTATTACAAAGGAATGTTTCACCCCAATCCATGTAAGTCTTTGGAAATGCTGAGTTTTTTATGCTGTTGGAGAGCAAAATTGCATTTTTTTTACAGTTCAAGGTTAACTGCACTTATTCCCTTCAAGATTATCAAGATGAACGTGAATTGAATGGCAGAATAATTTATTCTATCTGGTTTGACATCTTTCACACTTAGCAAGTAGTCAGTTTTCAAAAATGCAAGTGGTAATGTACATAAGCAGAAAGCCACAGGATCCATGTGAACTGATTCTGTCAACTCAGAAGGTCTTGGGACCTTGACCTTCTCATTGGATTCACAAGACAGTTGGAATAACAGAGCCAAAAGAGTATTCTAAAGAAGGATCACTGAGCCATTGTACTGTGAGGCCCAGATTGCAGTATTGTCTGGGCTCAGGACAGCACTTACAGTGAAAGGTCAAATTGGCCCCACATGAATTGGATATGTTCTTGGGGATGACAAATAATCATTTCTATATCTATCATTAATGGAATTTATTAATGGAATTTATTTTTATTTTTATATTGTTATTTTGGTTTACTTTTTTAAGTAACCTCTATTGCATTATGGATCTTGTGCAGCGTATCATAAATGAAGTGTAATTCTATCTTTGATTGTCTTTTCCAACAAGTTGATTGTCACCTCAGTTCCCACCCCAATGATAATGTACCAATTTGTCAAGGGGAAATCTTCCTTACAAAAGTATTGGTCCCAAAACTGACAAAACCTGCAAGGACTTTGCCTAAGTGTGGGTACATTCCTCAGTTGTGTTTGAACATCTTCAAGTGCCCAGGACTCTGCCCAAAGGTGGGTAAGGATCTCCTTGGTTGCAAAATTGGAAACATCTGTGAGCAGTCAGGACTCTGTCTAAAGAGAGGCACAATTCTACCCTGACACACCTGACCATCATGCTGTGATTGTTGGAGATAAGGAACTGGTCCAAATTATGACAGGGATTTATTTGCCTAGGGCAGGTACTGAGCTCTGAGTTGACTGGTTTAGTTGTTTCCCAGCAAGCACAATCAGGTCAAATGAGGATAGGGATAGTCAGATGCTTATCAAGCCAAGAAAGAATTCCAAAACATGGCTCATGATTCTGTGGCCAATGTCTTCCTCTTCTGGGAAAGCTATTTGGATCAAAACAAGGCATCAAAGTGGGAGTTGTGGCCAAGGGTGGGCCAGTTACAATAACCTTACAGTCGAATTTCACTAAACTTTAGCATAGAGTAGCCAAATTGTTTGCCACATCTGCACTAATACTACTCATGCGGGCCCCCGCAAAAAGGGCCCACTGCCCTGAGCTGATCATGCACTGGTTAGCCAAAATTTGCTGACTTAGATAAGCCTCCCAGGACTGGGGGTGCAGATCACCCTAATGCAAAGCATCTTCCATTCCCAATGGGAAGCTCATGAGTTATTGCAGCTTTGAGTGGCTTTTGGACAGCTTTTCCAAACAAAGTAAGATGATGAGATGTGCACTGATGATGAGACAACAAGATGAAGGGCAGCTTGTAGCCGAGCATCTCATTTCCAATGTGGTATCACTTTCTCCCTACCTTCACGTGCAGGAGGGTGATGCCCTTGCCCAGACAGAAGCTGAGGTGGATCGAAGATGGATTTATGGATTTCAATTCAGTAGGACAGGTCACATTTGAAAGATTTCCGCAAAATGTTTATGTCAAACCAGCAGAGCGCATGGAGTTTGCAAGCATAAAATTGGCCTGCACGTCTGCCAAATTTGAAACCTTTTTTGAAACCAGCAAGCAGGAATATGATCCAAAATCAACAAGATTTTATTCACATGTGAACTGCCCTAGTCTGCACAGAGTTCTTGGTAACTCACTCTTGATCAGTCTTGTTGAACACACAAAAATGGAACACCTCAAAGGGGGAAGGGAGGAGTTTGTGAGAAATAGCTGATTGACACCAAAGAAAAAAAAGAGAAATTTAAGGCTTTGGATTTGATTGTACCACAGGCGTCAAGAATTTGTGGGGAGAAGGCAACAGTAGCAAAACTCTGTTAAAAAAAGCACTAACACTACAGAACTTTGGCCCAAGAAAAGCACCGCTATGCTGACACTTTGTGGGCGAAAAGCATAGCAGCCCATGATTGGTACAGCTGAGAAGGACTTACTGATCGATGTCAGCCAGTTACAATGTTTTGAGACACGTACAGCACATGATGAGAGAGATGTCATGGTCAGCACACTTGAAATTGATTGGCACGTTTGTGAAAGGGGACACGTGAACATGCCATTCCAGAAAAAGGAAACATATCACAAGGTGTTATCAAGAGAGATGAATTTGTCTCCTAAACGTTTAAGTCAGTTAAGTATGTTTTTTTTGTCTCAAAAAGAAGATAAATAGATGTCAAAAAATAAAAAAAACTCTAGATTCCTCAAATTACAATATGAAAAGAAAGATCAATCATTACATGAATTCTTCTATTACAAGTGATAGATAAGGAGGAAGGAAGAAGAATGAAAAACGATGAGTTGGAGACAGGGTTTGACGGAATTTTTGAAGAGGAAAAAGACAAGAGTAGCCCCAGCGAAAGATTGAAGAAAGAGTGAGGTTTTTTCTTCTTTAATTTTTATGGTCACGAAAGAGGAGGAGGTCATCGTATGCGACTGCCAGGGAGATATGATTACCGAGCGCGATCGCTTTAACGATGGTTGCCTCATGGGTGAGATGGCAAGATTTGCGGACCGCGCGGGAGAGATACGGGGCGACGAGAAGCGGGTCGAGGCGCCAGTTTTCGGGCAATCTTTCGAGGCTAGAGTGGAGCGGGATCCGGGCGGGATGGCGGGCGAGAAGGTGTTGGACTTGACGGGCCGAAGTGGATGATGAGACTGCCGAATTGATCAACAGGTCGAACAGGATCCCGATCAGTGAGTCCGTCGATTCTCCATCTTCTCTCCCTCCCCTCTCGTTTCCTCCCGTAGAATTCCCAGCTTTCTCCACTAAGCCCGCCCTCTGCCCTGAAGACAGTATCGTGCCGCGTTGCATGCAGTACGTCTCTGCCGACCGGATATCTTTCAAGGTCAATGCCAATAAAGAAAGTGCTAGACGATGTAAGCCGATCTGGATGCATCCATTAAAAGCCGTCAGATCAGTCTCTCATCCCCCTTATGCTGCTGAAATGATGGATCCCAGACATACCTTGGAATAGACCATCGCACGTTCAACCGCCAGTAGCTCTGCAGACCCGCCCATATCCTCGATAATCGACCGGATTTGCTGGGCATCGTAGTTGGATTGATCGGAGTCTGACTGGTCGAGACAGAGCAAGAGTTTGGCACGCGTTGCGAGTGCGTCCGAGAGCTGCGAAGACGTCTGATCATCGGAACTCTCTGGAAGTGAGACCTCTAGAAGAAGATCGACGAAGGATTGCGGTTTGAACTCTTCGTCCTCCGCGTTCGTCATGAACTGCTCAACTAGACCCCGGAAGAAAAGCATCGTGGGCGAGGGCCCGTCTTCGGTGTTGCGCAACAGACCCTTCATCTTGTTCAAGTATCCTAAGATGAGCTTGGTGCGGAGGTTGATGAGCCGATTGGCAATCTGCTTGTCTACCAAACCATCGCTCTTCCGTTTCCCATTCCCCGCTTCTCGAGATTCACGTGAGATGGCTTCTTCCAAATAAAACTCAGCAGCCTCCTGACTGACTTCACATAAGCTTTCAAAGGTGGTGTCGACATTAAAACTGCTCGCTACTTTGGCTTCCACTAGAATCTTGACTGCCAAGTTGCAGTTCAGAGGTGCCATCCATGTCGCATACTTCAGCACCAAATCCACTTGATCGTAGTGCAATAGAACTGAGGCCATTCGTTCTAGGTCATAACGGAAGTCTTCATCTTCATACACTTTATCATGTAGCCTATAGCAATCAGGACCAAACGCAGGTATATATTAGCTCCCTTGTTAAAATATACACGAGCTAGGCCTATGCGCAAAAACTTACTTGGCCCAAATGTCAAAAGCTTCAGGAATATGTTTACGCTTCAAGTAGATTTCGGCGAGGATACAAAAGCATTTATTTTCAAGTAAGACGGGTTCGATTTCAGCAAAGACGCAAGAATTGGGTCGTTCGAGTATCTGTCTGAGAGTTGAATAAGCTTCAGGATCGACCTGACGGCGTTCGGATAAGAGTTGGACAAGAGCGGTATCGATGATCTACAGGAGAACATGCAAAAAGGTCTGATAAGTCTTTTGAGGCTTATCAAGATGAACAGGGCTGGTGATCGAAACGAACGGAATCCAAGTGTCGATTTGAATCCGACGCTCCACCCTTCAAAAGTCTATCTCTCCTCCACCGTCTCAGATAACGAAGCAAGACCTGACGGGACTTTTCGTGCAACTGAGCCTTAAGATCGACCGTCGGAAGTGCAGTGTCGACATCAGGCTTGATGTGTGGCGAATAATTCCGTACTAAATTAAGTGTAACTTTGGGTCAGGGCCAAGGTTGATACGAAATCAAAATCAAGATCCCAACGAGGAAGTACATAGCAGGAATTAAATAAGATCAGACTGGATGTAAGGGGAAGAGGGTGTGGATCTCGCATAACACTTACTCAATTCTTCAGCACTTCTTACATCCCGAATCATCTCTTCCAACCCGCTAAAGATCTTCAAAGTATCAGTTTTACAAAGATTATTGGCCACCAGTAGTGGGAACAATCGGAGAAAGATGCGAGGATCACCATGTCCTTGGAACCAGAGATTGCCAGCCTCTTCAAAGCGACACTCGACGAGATAATGCAAGGCGATTTTTTGGAAGATGTAATGTAACTGAGTGACCTGTGCGGAATTATCCAATTCGGCCCGTCGTGTTTGAGATCGTCGAGTTGGTGAGGGTGTGGAGGATGTGCCCCGCTGGAAAGATTCTGACGACCGCCCGGCCAAGAGGAGCGCATCATCCCATCTGTTTTGCTTGATCAACGTCTCTACTTCGGCTAAGAAGGTGCGCGTGGCTAAGGCGTATAGTGCGTCACGACCAACCAACAGTATTCGAGAGTGAGTTGCTGCTGACAGACATGATTCACGGCTCGAATTTTTGGCTTTCAAAGAACTTTGGGCGCAGTTGGGTATCGGACGAGTTTCCAAACAAAATGGGATAGTATTCAATTGAGAAGTATACGATTCGCCTGGAAGGGAGATTCCGAATTTGGCAGATGCAAGTGATCGGGGGTCCAGGCCGTCGGGGAGTGAGATGACATGAACCAGTTCTTGGGTGGCGAGTAAATGGACTTCGATGGTCCCATTGAACAGCAGAGCCAGGACATGATTCAAATCCACTGATACGCTGCGTGGGTTTGATGGCCACTCTAAGGTCCCCCTCGAGGGATCCCCCGATGAAGAGACAAAGATGCCAAGACATGTTGAACCTGTGTGTGAGGCGAGCAAGAACTCCTGAGAATTTGGAATGGCTGCCATTGAAGGACGATGGCGGGTAGCCTGAGAAGATGTGACGGTCGGGTCATCGGGAACTGGTGCTGAGCTTTGAGAGATAGGCAACAGAGGCATGACTTCTGGCGGTTGATCTTCCAATGAGATTAGGTAATACTGTTCAATATCTGAGAGAAGCAATGTCGATCCTCGAAGGAGACACTGGAAAGTTGCCGACGCAAAAGCCACTTCATGTACTTGCTGAATGCCATTCATACTCAAGAGGTAGAGGAATATGCTCTTCTTCTTGATCACGCACATGAGGACATCGTCGGGCTGATTTGACGATTGGAGATTATTCGGATTGTAAGTAAGTTCATCCAATGTTACCGCAGAAACCCCTCTGATGAATGGGAATGACGAAGATGGACACGGCTGAAGATCGGTGATCGAATGGAAGGTGATAGTTCCCTCTAACGGAAGACATAAAAAGAAAGGTTCAGAAATGAGAGCTGATGTTGAGTATCAAGAGCAGCGCTCTGACCTGATAAAATGATAGCCAAGCCTACCATTGGCACCAGGATAAGTTTCTCGACTGGTTTAAGTTTCGACTTATCGGTAGCCGGAAATACCTGGCAGTCTTGAAAACAGCTGGTATCGATGATATCCTCAGGGACGGCGACTCCAACTTCAGCTTGTCGGGGACTAGACGGCTTAGAGAGTCTTCCCGAGACTGAGTGGGGCCGTGGTTGGGTGTCGACAGCGTCGGTTAGCCGGACGGTATCTGATGCCACACGAGTGTGAGGGGGCCGACTCGGGGTCAGATGTGCCTTGATATCCAATCCTTTCACGCGGCCGTCGTTCGAACCGACCCAGAGCAATTGGCCATGGCCATCGACCGAGCGTATCACCGGGTTCTTCGACGGTCCCGGCTGGGGTGGCCCATCGGATGAGCTTTGATCTGGTGCGAAGACCGGCCGAACCAACCTGCGTAGTTCGAATGGGGGTAGGAAGCCGGCCTGGGTCGAGGCTGTTGATGCCATGACTAGAAGTGTTGCTTGAGTTTGGTTTTGGTTGGAAGTCGATCGAGCTGAAGCAAGACGGGACGGTCAAGAGGGATATGTATGTAGGTGGGTGTATGCTACACACTGTTAACAAGACTGTCTCTTGACCGTCCGACGACCATTTGACCGGTCGCCGTGCTCCCAACTCAGCTCAACGGCGGTGATGTCATCGGAAGAAGAAAATAACTTTCACTGGCCAAGAAACCAATCAAAAAGAAGGAAACCTCAAAGACTGACAAGGCTTGATGAAACTACTACAATGAAAATGAAAATGGGCTCCAGCAAAAGAGTTTGGCACGGATTTTAAGACAAAAGTCGACACCACTGCTCTCCCATCTCATTGCTACATATAACTATGGTGTTGCAAGCCCATCTGGGCACACACCAAACTTTGGCCGAGAACAGGCCAAGCGCGCTGGGCCGATCTTAAAGCACACTTGGCCGACTGTAAAGCCCGCATGGCACCCTCCCAACCCCCGCTTGGCTCATGTCAAAGCTGGCGGGGGTCGGAGCAAAGCCTTGCTTGACCGAGATCAAGCGAGGGTGCCACACCCGCCAAAATGCCGGTCATTGAGAAGGAATCCCCTCTTGATGACCGGTTCACTACTAGTCAATCACTCCTCTATGGCCGATGACCGTCACTATGTCATCATCGGTTGATTCTGTCTGCATGCCAAGCGTCAAGACAGGTATCTCCCATCCTCAGCGACTAGGTTTGTACGGGTCTTTGAGAGGGAGGTCAGCGCCTGAGCCACCAATCGGCCCAGGGCTTGAAATCAGCCCAGCGGGACTTGGCTGAGTGCCAAGTCCCACCCCCCACACAACCCGCATGATCAAGCCCTCTGGGCACAAATCAAACCCCCGGTGGCTATCGGCCAAGCGGGACTTGGGTTTGTGCCCAGACGCGCTTGCAACACCATACTTGCTTCACAGCTGGCCTGCCTTCCAAATATTTGACAAGCATACTTAAAACAAAACACTCTTTAAATATAAATTAGAAAGAAGAAGAAAAAAATCAGAGCCACATGATTACAGACAGATTCAGACGAGTAGTCAATCACTTTTTGCATCTTTCCTGAGTCTCTCAAGAATGAAAACGAAAAAACATGGATTTATTGATCAGGGACCCAAACCCTATCCAACAACCCATTAGCCAAGACGAGTACGCCGAACTTGAGCCCATGAAACCTGTCATCGTCGATAACATCATCTACATTCTGCCCCCTCTTTCCTTCTTCATCATCATCTTCATCCTCATCATCTTTGTCTGAATTCACATCCTCATCATCGTTTTTCGTCTTGTTCTTGCCCTTGGTAGATTGAGTAATGTGTGCATCTTCTTGATCATCCCCATCCTCATTGATTTTCTTCTTGTTTTGGCTTTTGGTTGCTTGAACAGTCTTTCCACCTTCATCATCATTCCCACCTTCATCTTTTGTCATCTTCTTCTTATTCTTAGAGAGTTGAGCAGTAGTAGGAAAGACCAAATGCGGACAGATCGGCTTAAAGACACCTAACGAAAAACCCCACATAGCCCGTCATCAACCATCCACAGCCTCCATTTCTATTGTGGAAAAGAACACGCAACAAGAAAGAAGGGGGAGAGGGGACAAACATTGAAGACACCCATGTACACAAGGACACTCGTCCAAGAAGGCCAAGACGAGGTCCAGGATGGTCTGGATATTACAAGCCAGATCGGTCAGCCCAGACCCCAGATCGTGATGACCAGCAGCTGGAAGGATATCAGGATCGGATTGCAGCCCATCGACAATCGATCGGTCGAGGTTTTTCTTCGGATCCTCATATACCAATATCCTTTGTGATTTTTTTTTTTTTGGTATGTTCAGGAAGAAGTCAAACATCGATACGAAACGGATGAGTATGCGAAGGTTTATGTGACTGTAAGGGAGAGAGAGATAATGCTCACCGGTCGATCAACTGAAACTCTTCATGATTGGCCCCTTCTGATACTGAGCTTTGATTGCGAAAGCCCGGTTGATATTGATGCTGATAATCGGGTCTAAAAGCCGCGGCCTTGAAGAATTTACAAGTAGTTTTCAAGAGGGGATAATGAGCCTGCCCGACGGCTGCTTGTTTTTGCTCGGAATCAGACTGTTGAGACGTAAGCTTCAGCTGATGATAATGGTTGGAATTGAGAAAAAAGAGGATAAGATGTTCGAGTAGATGGATGACGAGGTTGATTTTAGGATAGAACGAAAACGCAGGATCTGAGATGGAGGATGGTTGTGGGGTGGCGAAGAGGGAGGCCAGGGACTGGATGATGGGCGCAGGGAGATCGATCCAGACTCCAACGGTCGACGTCGATAACTCATTCGACACCATCCCATCATCCTTCCCATTCGCTTCATTCGGTAACTCGATCCGGTCCAGAACTTTGCTCCGATTCTTCGCATCTACCTTCAAGTAACCCGTAATCGTCGTCGTAACTTGAGGAACACCAGAGAGAAAAAAAACAACCATTAATTCTTTTTTTTTTTTGGGGGGGGGGATTCGTCTTCAAGGGGAGGGGGAAGAACTTTTTTTGGAGGGGTTGAAAAAAAAACCACTTACTCAAAAGTTTGCCCAAGAATATGAAATGAGTAGAATCGGGAAGGATAGGCAAGTTTCTGAGAGTTTTCTGAGGAAGGATCCGAGAAGCGACGATAGGGCGAGTGAGGAAGTGAATAGCGGCGGAGCGAACGGAGACGGTTTGTCGGCGATGATCGAGATTAGAGACGACGAGGGAAGCGCCTTGATGCAAGAAGACGGCGCCTTCGAAGCACTCGAAGAGCACCCTTTCCCGCTCGATGTCTTCGAGGATTTTGGGATGATGAGGGGTCGAGATGTCGACAATGGTGTAACTGTCAGAAGAACTCCCATCGAGGCCGCCGTTGTTGGTGGTTATAAGGCCTCTGATCGAGATCAGTTGGGACGGGTTGGATTGACCGGTGTGGAAGAATCCCTCGCCGTCCATGGCCAGATGAGCATCACACAACTCCTGCAAGCTTGGGCCAAAGAACTTGCTGTCCTCGGCCGGAACGACGGGGATCTCGTGTGCGGCACAGTGGAGATGGGCGAGCAGGAGACGCGGGTTGTGGAGGTCGAGGGAGACGGAGCTGCCGTGGGCCTGGAAGAGCTCCTCGGGATGGCGCGCAAAGTGTTGGTCCAAGCCGCGCTGTTCGAGCACCAACATCGCCAACGAGTCTTTACTCCTTCGGCCCGCCCGGCCGGCTTGCTGGATCAACCCGGACAGCGAATGCGGGAAGCCCAGACTGAGCACCGCATCCAGGCCGCCGATATCGATCCCAAGCTCCAAGGCCGTCGTCGCTATGATCCCCAGTAATGCCCCACTGAACATCTCCGACTCGATCAGTCGGCGTTCCTGGGTCGTGTAGCCCGCCCGGTACGCCCGCACCCGCTCCTTCAGCTCCCGCCGTCCACTCTCCACTAGATCTTCCTGGACCTGCTTCATCAATAACTCGCACGTCCTCCGCACCCGACAGAACACTATCGTCCGCACCCCTCGCTCGAGCAGAAACCGGAACACTCGCGAGGTCTCCACAATCGCACTCACCCGTCCCTGCCCAGGGTCCCGTTGATCGACCAATGGCGGGTTCCAGATCACGTGTCGTTTGGCGCCCGAGGGAGCCCCATCCTCCGAGACTAGCGCGACCTGATCGAAGCCAAACAGACTCTTCATGTGCTCTTCCGGGTTGATCGTCGTGGCCGAGCAGCTAATAAACCGCACCTCCGCGTTCCCCACCGCCTCACACATCCGTCTCAATCGGCGCATGATCATCGCCACATGGGCACCGAAGAGGCCCGAATAGATGTGCAGCTCGTCGACAACCACATAGCGCAGGTTTTGGAAGAACCGCCGCCATCGTTCTTCGTTCGGAAGGATTGCCGAGTGCAGCATGTCCGGGTTCGTGAAGATCACGTTGGCATCCTTCCGGATCCCCGCTCGCTCGTCCGACGGCGTGTCTCCATCGTAGGTCTCCACCCGCACCCGCCTTGAAAGCGGCTCGCCATAACTGAGGATCAGTTCATCCAGTGACCGTTTCTGGTCTTGCGCCAATGCCTTGGTGGGAAAGATGTAAAGGCCACAGCTGGAATGACTCTTTTCGAGTGCTTGAAGCATCGGGATTTGATATATCAATGATTTCCCACTCGAGGTGCTGGTGGTGACGATGACATTCGAGCCCTCCGAAAGCAAGTCGATTGCCCTCGCTTGGTGGGAATACAGACGGGTAATCCCCTTGGTGGATTCTAAGGCTCGGTAGATCTCGGGCGAGAGCTGGGAGCGCTCGAGATCTTTAAAACATGCCTGACGGGCGGGCGTGACATGTTCGCCATTCTCGACGATCTGGTCATGGTATTGAGGGCTGGCCTTGAGCTGCTCCAGTACGCACTCAATTGTCGGTACCTCAGAGGGGAGCTCTAACTTGGTAGGAAGCTTGTAGTCGTGTGTCTCAGAGTCCGTATTTTCTAGCCTAATCGGGTTATTTGAGGTGGCACATTCGACCAACAGCTGGACAGGATCCACTGGCGGATCTTCCGCCGCGCATGCCTCAAGGAGCTCTTTGACGGCTTCTTTGAACTTGAGGTTCCGTTTCTCGACCATCTTGATCATCATTTGGGGAGAGTATGTGGGTGTGAGCAAGTCGTGTGCCGTGACGGTATCCTGGATCGACCGCGTTGATGGACCTGATTGGTTCTTGAGACGAGCATGTTGGCGTGGAAGCTTGCGTGCATGTTTTTGGGCCGTCTTGAGTTCGCCATCAAGGAATTGAAACAGGAGAACTTGAACAGCTTCTTCCTCAGATGTCGGATGTTCAGATCTGGAAGATTGCGGGTCGTAGATGTTCAGATCCTTCGTCTTCCGCTGTTTCTTGGTCGGTGCAGAGATCTCGTCGAGCGCGCCTAACGTGTCTTTATCGACAAATGTGAATCTGATCAGGTCTGGCAGCAGGGTTTTGATTTGAGAAATCGAATCAAGCTCGAGCTGGCTAAGAGAAAGATGAGATTAGTAGAAGTAAAATGAAGACTGAGGAGGATAGATGACCACGGACCCTTTGATGAGACTTTCGACGCTCGATCTCATGTTATCGATGGTAGTATGGAGTTGTTTGCGGGTTGAGCAGAAGGTGAACACGGTGTTGAGAGCCTGAAATGGGAATGTGTGCTGGTGAGCCGCCGGACGAGAGCAGGTGAGATAGAGGATGGATGCTTACTTGATAGACGCGTTGCAGCTGTTGGAAGAATGTGGGCCATGGTTTGCTAGGTTCGCTGTTTGCTGTTGTGCTGTTCGAGTCGGCTGAGGTTGTCTTTGGTCGTTTTGTGGTGTTGCTCTTGGGTGTGGGTGAGTTGAGTTTCCTCCTTGGGGGCATCGTCGGCAAGAAAAGTTATGTGCAACAGTGGAAACCAGAAGCACCTCATCACCAGACAGGCAACCACTCCCTTCAAACCAAGAACTCTTCACATTCAAACTCCCACTCAATCCTCAGAAGCCCAAAAAGAACTACATCTCTCAACTCATCATCTTGCTCACTTGGTGTCTGATGTAAAGGGATAGATCATCATAAAATCATCATTACATTAACATTTCATCTCCATCTATGCAATATTCCTTTTTTTTTATTTGGTCATGAGCTTGCATAGGAGAAAAAAAAGCCTTCTATGTATTCTCTGTTTTGAAAAAAAAAAAAAAAAAACTCTTTCATTAAAATGAAGAAAAGGAGACCAGACACATTTTCAATTTTTCTTGTCTCATGATAAGAGAAACCAGAACAAGGGAAAAAAAAACAAAAACATGTTTTTCTTTTTATTCGTTCTATCTGTTTCTCTCCATACACACACACGCACCAACTGCCAACACAAGCCAAGACACAATAAAAGCAGTCAACAAAGCAAAGATCAAACACATACAAAAAAGGGGAGGAGGGGAGAGAAGGGGAAGGAGCAGAGAGAAGATTAAACGACGGCGTATTCCTCAGTCGATAACAAAGTATCACTCGAGAACTCGATTGGCTCGTCCCCAACAACAGCGGCAACTTGAGTGACCTAAGCAAAAGAGAGAGAGAGACAAAAGAACCGTCAAGCCTCGTATCAAAGAAAGGATAAGGAGGGAAGGGATTGCTTACGGAGACCTGAGAGAGGATGTTTTGAGAGATAAAGTCGACTGAGACCGGGAAGAACGAGTCCGGATCCGAGTCGGGACAGTTGAACTCCATCGAGCCCCCACTCGGCGCAACACCCTCATCATCCCCCTCGATCTTCCATTGAAGAACCGGACTCTCCTCGGTCCTGATCTCGTACGACCCGTCGCATTGGGCTACCTTCGGATACGAACCCTCCCTATACACACAAAAAAAGAACACATACACAACTTTCTGAGTTGTGATTTCTCCAGAATCGTATCTAAAATCTCCGCCACTCACGGTAATGGAATCGTGATCACTAGGTTGTGTAACTGCACATTCTCGTTCTCAGCTTCGTATTCTATGTTCACATCACATCCTCCATCATCATTAGTAGTAGGCCAACAGTTGACTACAAACGCAATCCGATTCATAACCCCCCGCAAAAAAAAAGAAAGAAAAAAAAACAGATGAGTCGAGTGAACACCAAGAAGACATGACTTTTTTAAATAGTTGATTAGATGAGCACATACTCGAGATAGGAATCAAAGTTTCATCCTTCGTCGTAAGTCTCCATTTCAAGACGGCCAAGCCCTGTTTGGTAGGAAATCCGCGTTCGGCGTCTTTCAACTTAATCACCCGACTGTCCGCCCACGCCTTTTTGTCGACATTAGGATGGGTTTTGAACTGGATGTCACTGGCGGGGATGGCCCCCTTGGCGACCCCATGGTTGAGGGTCACCCAGATCTTCGTCTCGCTCTCGGGAGCCACCTTCAACTCCAAGGAACCCGAGACGTTGATTCCGGTCGAGTTGGGCACCAGGCCGCCATCCCGAGCTAGCTCTGCTGAAAGCTTCTCTCGTAGAACCAGATGCACACTGGGAACTTACCCCCCGTCAGTCTCATGCAAATTAAATTGGGAACATTCAAACTGAAAAAAAAAGACAAATCACTCACTCTTCCTGCGTCTCTGGCGCAAATGGATTCAGATCCGCCGCTTTTGCTGCCGAAGCTGGCGGAGCACTGCTAGGCTGAGCCGCGGGTTCGGAGCTTTGAACAACAGAGACCGGAGGCCAGGGGCCCTGTGCAGCGTATTCGTCTCCCTAAGAGTCCAATAGATTCGAAAAGACTGTCAATTCAAGAACTTCCAAGTCCACATCCCAACAAGGACTACTAATTAGTATGAGATGTATATAAGATGACCTACCAAGACCCCTTGTGACTTGGATTTACTACCAAGTTGCATCCCTTTTGTTTTGAATGGCTTGGCGGCGACGGGTGTCCGACTTCTGGAGTGTGTCCAAAACAGACATCATACGCATCAATGACTGTGTGCGGAATCCGGTCGATTTCAGGAAAGAGGTGAGGAAAGGCTTACGAGTATGGGTCTTCTCGGACCACAGGGGCCGCAGGCTGTGAAGGCTGATATGGTCGATCGTAACCCCCTCCCGAGCCCTGTGGACTTATAAAGCTCAACAAAACATAGGAAAATAATTTGTTAGGAAAGAGAGAAAGGACATACCATTCCGGTTGAATACACATCCGATTGGCCACGTTTGAGAGCCTCGCGACGCTGGGAGTCTAGCTGTTTGGCCCTGCGCTTTAACTCCTCCTTGGCCTCTTGTTCTTTGTTCTATTGAATAGAGATGATCAACCTCTATAAGAATGACAAAAAAATGGTTTATATGAAGGGAGTCGAACCTTGGCAATGATCTCTTGAATCTTTTCTTCATGACTTTCCATCTCCATCACGCTCCGGATTCCATTCAAGTCGATCTTCTCACGGTATCCCATACAGACGACCTCATCGAAGCTACTGAGGACCTCGAAGCTCCTGGCGAGGACCTCAGCCTCGGTGACCGTTCCTCGACAGAAGTCCGAGACGATCCTCGAGAGCAGATGGAGGGTGTCGATGTCTTGCAAGATGTTACTCTGTCGATTGGTCAGGATGACCAGCCATAGATCCTCCAATGGTTGATAGACGTATCGGATCGCCGAGGTCGGATCGTCAATCACAGTGTGTTGGGATGACGGCGGAATCAGCTTCGGGAAGGTGGCTAGTAAGGATTCTAAGCGTGCACGTGGAAACTCTCGAAATTGTCTCGAAATCACAGCTGTCAAGTTGGGAATATTTCAGAAAAATACAAAACGCATTGATGAGGTCAGTTTTGCTTGGTTTTTCAAAATACATAAATTTTGAAGAAAAAAAAAAGAAAAAATGCTGATTGATCATTCAATTCTAGACAAATGAAAGGGTGGGTTGTGGTAGACTTACGCCTTCCACCCTTGGTGACGATCGACGCTGATAAAACCTGACGATCGACAGGATCAAGGGGTATGTTGGACATGAGGTCACCGTCTACAGATATTCGAAGTCAGAGAGACCTGTTGACGTACCACCATCTTTTTTCTGATTTGGAAAGTAAAATCTCAATGTTCTCTCTATCTGTTTATTTTTTTGCCCTTGGTTGATAAGCCCTGACTATCTGGCTAGATTCGGGAGGGAAAGATCCTGGTGCTTGAGTGAAGGACCTTTGACGGTTTCTTGGGTTGTGGTTGCAGTTGTGTGATGTGGTCGATCGGCTGGTTTGAAGAAGAAGGTCAAGTGCGGTCATCAGCACTTTGGAGCGGTCAACTGGGCCAGGTGGGGTTTGGAGCCCGGATTACATAAGCAGCCGAAACATCCAAGGAAGCCGCTTGCCCGTCCAAAAGGCCAACAGATCCTCCTCCCATCACACCCAAACTTAGAAGCCACTTCATGTTGTAGACACTTATGGAATTTTTATCAGTCTCATGCTAAAAATTTGGAACATGAGATGCCTGGCTTTGATAAAAGTAACCACAGGGCTAATAAGCAAGTCGTACTTTCTGCCCTCTTTCTAGCCAAAACTTGGATTGCAATCCCTGCGGCCTCCCACTTCCTCCAGAAATGAAAACAAGAGTTTTTTATTTTATTTAATTTTCATATTGGCAGAAAAAAAAAATTGAAATTCATGCATCACCATAGTTAACAAAACAAAACAAAAAAATAGAAATTAAACATTTTTCAGCTATTGTGGAACTGCTACACTTTTTTCTTTGAAATATGGAAGCTGGGTGGGGGGGATGGAGAAGGATCTAATTGAATGAACAAATACAATAAAAAAGTTGTTTTTTTTTTCTTAGTTTTTCTAAATTTTCTACTTGAAATTGGTCAACCAAGGGGAATGTCTGATCCCAAGCATTGATTACTTTTTGAAGTGGTTTTGAGATGTGCATAATGGTTTAAAAAATGAGTATGGTCTATATTAGGATTTGAGGATGAGCTGTTTTGTGGACAGCACAGGGAACATGCATCTCAGGTGAACCTGGGATGTCACTTTTTTTTACTCTGCACCAAAAATAATGGTCCACCCACTGTACATTTTAGGATTACAATGGGACTGTGCCACACCAGATCAGTCCAAGATGAAAATCAGAACCAAAACCCATCTGGGCACAGTGGGGTCCGCTCCTATCCCAAACCCAGGATGTTTGGATGGCCTGTGGCAACAGTGGGCCAGTTACACTAACCGTAGTGTTAGTGTAGTGGAATTCCGCTAAACTTTAGCATAGCGTAGCAGAATTCCGCCACATCTTGCACTAACACTACGCGCATAGGCCCCAAAAAAGGGCCCACTACGCTACGCTAACACGCTGGTTAGCGCTTTTTTTGGCCCTGTAGCGCAGCATAGCGTAGCAAAAATCCGCTAAAAATACGCTAACACTGCATGTTTTTGGCGTAAAAAAAGGGCTGCTATGCTACGCTTTTTGGGCCAAAAGCGTAGCGGCCCACCGCTGCCTGTGAGACACCTGGCCCAATTACCATTCATACATCTCCTGAAGGGCAGAGACCTGGACCATACAGTTTCTCACAATATCAAGTATTATATCTTTGGAAAATCCCCCTATATGCATGTCACCTGACAAGTGCTCATAAATAAATGAGATGTGAGATGGGAAGAAAATTCAGATGGATTGATCAAGAATAATGAATGCACCACACTCAGGGTGGCTATTGGACAGATTTGGGCTTCAAAAAACAGTGCCCAAACCCAACCCAATTTTTCCTTTGTGTAGGGTTGGTTTGGTTCAGAATTCAGAATATGCCGCTTAACTTTAAACTCATTTGAGGATCAGTCCGGTTTGGGTTGAGCGGTGTTGAGTCCAGTTCGACCCAAGCTTCAAAGCGATTATCTTGAGTGGTGGAATTTTATGGCAGAGCAGAAGTTGGAGTATCAGGGGCTTTGCCATTGGAGCTGGCTGTTATTTCTGGTACAGTTCAGTGACAAACTGTTGAGTTAAACTTCAGAACTGGGAGGGAAAAGGATTGTGCCCGCTGATCCACATCTGGTGATGCACATGTTCACTTTCGCCATTGCGATGAGGGGAAGGTTGAGGAAGCTGCTGAGAGGTTGGACTCTGAGGCTTTGAGGCTGGAGCTACGACTTGGGCATCAGCTGCTCAGCTGAAAACTGAAGTCCTAATAGGGTCATAGTCGGGTTTGTGAGCCAGCCTATTGCAAAATTTACCTGCCCCCCGGGGCCCACCCAACCTGAAAGTTTTGTAAGCAGATCAGGTTTTGGGTTGGGTCACATTTCTTCCTCACAGAGTCTTCCCAAACCCAACCCATACCCGGTTGGGTCAGTTTAAATCTCACCAGATGAAGTTAGTGTAACAGGCCCACCCTTGGCATATATCAGTTCAAGAAAAACTGTATTTCAAGGCATACTATGTATGCCCAGCATTGATTCAAAACTCAAATTTTCATGTTGTTTATCTAGGCAGGAATGAGAGGATTCCACTGTTCTTACTGGTGCCGTTTCATTTGTTTTCTTCAACAGGTATTCTCTCGACTAACTTTGCTATTGAAGCAGTAAAAACTTGCCCAAAAATCAAAACCTGAGTAATCTTAGAACTTGGGGGTGTACATATCACTCACCTATGAATTTGTGAATAGCTGTCTCATTAATTGCATGGTTTCTTGGTACCAAAATCAATACAATCCCTCAGGATTCACAACTCAGCTAGACCGACTATGCTCTGCCAAAAAAATAGAAATGTGCCAGACTGAGTCAAAGTCAGTGTACTCAGCCAAAAGATAGAAATCTACCAAAGTGAGTCAATATGATTGACTCAGTGTTGCGCATTTCTGTATTCTTGGCTGAGAAGACTCAGTCTAGCTTAGCTATAACACCTGAGTGATGAGCATCAGAACAACATAAAAAGAGCATACTTCCACATAGGATCTTGTAAACTGATACCATCCCCCCTTCATCTTGTTCTACTTGCAACCACCTTCAACTTAAATTTGACTTGTTTTTACCAGATGTTCGTCAAAGGTTGTGACAGTTACGAAGGACCAGTCATTCGAAATCCGAATGGTACAGTCACCGTTAATGTTCGAGCAAAGCACAGGTGTAGACAACAAGGAGCATTAGGACCGTCGATCAGCCCGCCTTACTCGGTTACGATCGCTATCGCCGAGGATCATCAGTACTTTGAAAAAGATGGTTATGTGTCATATTCTGGGACGCTGCACCAGGGGGATGCCACCATGAGCTGGAGCGTAGAAGCAAGGATAGGACACTTGTCCTCTCATCCGCACCCAGATTTTGAGCGCGCGCTTCAAACGGGCCCATTGGTTTCCGGGGAGCTCGAAATGGTCCAAGGCGGTGCGATCATTGGCAGAGAATTAAACAGTCCAGATGTCAGCGGTGTTTTTTCTTTCCTTGTGCTATGTTTTGGCATACTCATATATTCTATTGTGCAGGCCCCATTGGTGTGCGTTTCGATCAATGATCCAACATCTCGGCGTTATGCGTATGACCTTGAAATAGGGACGAGATTCTGTTATCAAGGGCGGCTGGTTAGGTTTAAATATTTGTATACCCACATTCACGTCAATGTAAGCAATCAGCTTTTCAGGAAATAAATCAGTGCTGATTGTTCAACTTGACAGGCTAGCGTATTCCTACCGTCGTTTGGGGTCAGACACGTGCTTGAGCGATGCTGAATTGTGCTTCAGGCCCCAGTTCTAAGTCTATCATTTCTTTGGTTTTCATGATCACGTTTTTTGGTTTAGTTGCCCATGTTTCACATCACCCATGCCATTTTGTAGTCTCATTGCAATCTTCACATGAGCTGAAAACATTTAGGTACACATCTGAGGTACACTTTTTGTGATTCACTCATATCATCTCATACCTAGCCTTCTACTAAATACAATAGAATCACCTGTTTGGGTCACAACGCACTCTGAGTTCCAGATTTTATCTGAGAATTATTTATGCCAGTCTGAGTCAGGTACTAATGAGCTGTTTTTGCAGACAAATCAGCTGCAAGTAATCATGTGGGTGTTGGTTATTGATGGTTGCACAAGGGCACCACGATTGGAGGTACAGCAAAGCCGCATGTTCCCTAGTGCAATGTGCTTTTCTGATTGTTGGATACCGGGTGCAGAGGAGGCTTGCCGCCTTGATCAAGGTAGCCAACCCAGACATTCAAGAACAGCTCTGACCAACACCCTGGTGTGGCACTGAGATTCTGTAGGCAGTTCTGGTTGCAGGAGAGATGTGGAACTGTTAGCCATGTGTATGAGATCTTGCACTGACCTTGTCACACAGTTTGTTTAGGCTTGGGTGCAACTCTTTTTCTTCCAATGCAGACTGGTAGCTATACTAAGTATATTGGTTTATTCAGCTGGCTGAAATAATCAATGTGAGCATCACAAGAGATGGCCTGGAGACATGGAATGTGCAGTATCTAAGGCACAAAAAAGGACCAAGTAGATTTTCCTTTTTTTAAAAAATGGGCAGTCATCTACAGCAATTCCAGAAAAGGATGGCAGTCCCTCCTGGAATGCAGCTGCTTGGTTGTGCAGATCCATCCTCTTCGTGATCTGGACAAGGTTAAGTTCCAGCATGAACACATGAGTCTGTGTCTTTCTGATAGGGCATTGCGGTCACAAGCGATGGTGTTTCCCCCGCCCATGATTTTTCCATCCCTCCAAGTCCCCCCAGTTTGCTACAGTCCAGCCCACTCCCAGCTATTCCTCCTCATCCGATTCAGTATGGCAGCACCATTTTCAACGGATCCACCGTCCATGTTGGCCAATTCCAACGCTGTATTCTGCCCAGCACCCCAAACAACAAACGGCCAGACAGTACCTTATGCGGGCAACTATCATTTGTCTCAAGCTCAATACCCAACCAACCACGACATGTTTGCCCCGCAAAACCCAATGCCCTTTAGCACTCAATCCCTCTCATTCAGCGCGCCGCCAGCTTACGGGACTCCTTTTGTTCATATTGGGTCTGCTCCTGCCATTGGCTTCAGCTCCCTTCCCATCTATACTGCTCCATCTGCTCCGATGCACCCCAGCCAACCATTTCAACAGCACTTGGTGCCAAATAACCTCCAGGGCAAATCTATTAGTGTTTTAGATATCTCCTCCAACAGTCGTAGTGATCACAATGAAACCGACATGTTGGATTCGAATTTCTCTTCCCCATCGCGCAACCCAACTCCCCCCCCCGAAGGTCTGGTTGCCCATTGAGGTCAAGTACCACCTATGGATGGAAAAAACCGCCAAAAACGGTTCCCGCAAGTTCCTCAGTGTGGTCCCTTTTGAGACGATTGAACCGTACATGGTCGATATAACCGAAGATCCCCCCGCCATCACTCTAGACTTTTTCCAAAGAGACCTCTACTGCCACCTCGATGGACGCGAGAAGCTCTGGTACCTCTGTGACCGTCTGCACAAACAAAGACAACTTTACTGGGTTGTCTTCATCGCAAACTCTAGGAAGTATTCTAAGAAGGCTCACATCATCTTACGAACCGATTCAGACCTCCTTGATTGGCTCAAGGAGGCCAAGAGGCTTTGACCGAATCAAGCGAGCGTCCTCATGACTATGGATGATCCGATTGCATCTGAAAAAGAACAAAGATCGGTCAGTATGATTTGATGTCTAAAATGTTTGGTTCTTTTACTGAGATGGCATGGTTTGGGTTGTAGGCCGAGCAGGTCCAGGATGCCTTAGTGGCGGAGTTTGGGACAGACAATGAGCGTGCGGTATTGCAAAGAAAACAGAAAAGAAAAGAGGCTAATGTGTGTACCTGTTTGTCGCTGATGTGATTCCGTGTCAATGAACTGACCACGCCTTCAAAACTTAGCCTTGATCCGAGACTGCCACCCCCCTCCAGGAGATGATGTCGAAGCTCTATCGTGTTTGCCTTGACCATTCGGAGAGCTCCACTGAGGGGGTGATGTTTGTAAACCCCGATAACCCAGCGGTATACATGAGAATTGGGCACGAGAGGCTCAAAGAGTGGGATCAAGCGATCATCGATGGGATCGATGGAGTTGATGCAACTCATCCGCCAAATAAGCCGCCCTTTGAGTGGGTCCCAAGGCCTGGAACTAGCTCAACCTCAACCTCAATCTCTGAGAATTCAATCGCGTTAGTGAACCCAATCGACAACCAACGAGCATGGAGTACCGGCAGGGCAACTAGCTCAATTGTAAACCGAGGTGGAGAAGCAGGTTTTTCTGCACAGTCGCCGCTTATAAGGGCCCCACTTGAAGTACCCGGACAACACGCTCACTTCAACAACGATCGCACACCACTGCCAATCTTGGGTGTTGAACAACGCGGAACAATGACCGCGTTCCTGGAGAATGCAATGATTCCATTGGACGATCACTACACTCGAATTCTCATCGAACATGATAAGATTCATCATTGTACCTACTTTCAACAATCAACAATGCTCGAGCTACTTGGAATGGGGTTCGCGGCGGGCCCCTCTCGTTTACTAATTGATGCAGTTCCTCTCTTTGAATCGGTCCTCAGACATACCTCCCCCCAGTAGCTGTTACCTCTTTGATCTAGTTTGGCTTGCTTCTCATCCTGCTGCTGCTTCTTGACTTTCATGGAACCCTAGGGGTCCCCTTAATAATGTTTCTCTCCCCCTTTGACGTCCCTGCGGGTCATCGAAGATTGACTCCTGGTAGGGTTGTTTTGTAAGATTGATTTTGGCTTTTGTTTCTTAGTTAGGATTGTTCTCCGAGGCCTGAGTGGTCAAAAATGACTCCAACTTCAGTTATGTTATGTTACTAAACACAATATCTCTCGAGCCGTTTTCTGTTGTTATGTCACTAGTGTTACCTGATGCCTGACTGATAAAAAGAATTCTTGAATGTCTCTCATGTTATGCGACCAAACACGATAGCTCTTGATCTGTTCTCTCTTTCTGATTCTGTCTATAAATGAATATATGAATTGGCCTGAAATCCACAAAAGCTGACTGGACAATTGGCTGAGGAGCCACATCAAATATAAGTGTTTGGGATCTCTCCCAAGGGGATTTGTGTGTGCACTACAATTCTACTCGGGCACCCCTCTGAGGTCCCTGCTGGAATCACCGGCTCCTAAGTGAATCTTGTGCATTTTTCCCGCGTGTCCGATATCACCAGTCGCCAATGTCTGAAGGGCATCACATGGCAGACATAGCTTGGCAGCCAGTTGTTGTTCCACAACCCCACATCCTCACCTACAAATCCGGCTTAAAATCTATGGAAGACAAAACGATCGAGCTACAAGTTCAACCCTCCAATATTGAGCCAATGGACATCGACGATCCTGACGAGGTCATTAACGAACCTGCAGACATAATTCCAGAGGCCCACACGTCCTCAATGACCATCAAGTTGAGCTACCTCCTCTACAAGGAGAGACAATCTGGAGACCCTCTGGCTCGCCCGCACTTCTTTAAAATTACACCTACTGAATCTGTGCGCGATTGGACCGGCAATATCTCAGAGGCATCGTTTGAAGAATTCAAAAAGACTCTCTTCGCTCATGTGACAACCAGCCGAAAAATTCGCCGGATTCTGGACATGGGCAACTGCTCAGGGAGACTGTACTTCTATGTCAGTGCTCATTTAGGACAGCCCCTCGGTGTTTTTTGCCCACTCCACGGGATCCATTTTTGTAGCTTTGCTTCGTTTGTGGCCGAGGCCATGCGACAACCTGAACGACCCATCACCATAATTATGTCAATGTGCCATGTGGTCCGGCACTGTGTTGCGGATGGGACTGTAAGTGAATGGAATGCGGCTTGTGCATCACAAATAGCCCTGTTGGATTGACTTTGGTGCTTGCAACTCGCTTCCATGCAGGAAGTTGCGGCCCATTTCTCTGGTGGTTCCTTTTTTGTTCTCAGTGAGAGAAACAAGTGTCCTGGAAGGGAGTACCAATTTCATACCGACCGTCAGGGCTTTCGACTACAGCCACACCTCGTACCATCACGCATCAAACCGGAGATCGGACCGCTTGGATTTGTTGAAGAACTTCTCCTATTCTGTGGCATTCCTCAGAACGACAGGCTTACTCACGGCCTAATCGATCTTCACCAAATAGACGACTGGCGTTTTTTTGTTGGGAGGTCATGCGAGGAGTTGGAGGACTTGGGATTTGGGACCCGTACAATTCAATTGCTCGCGGATGGTGTCCCACTGTACATAGTTCACTTAAACGATACCCTGTTTGATACATCAGATGAGGATGAATTCATCGACTATGACGATGAATTCTAATCGCGCAATCTTCTTAATGGATTCCAACCCAATCCCCACTCAATTTGTAGCTTCTGGTGTAAGCCAAGTAAACATACCAGATGTTTCATTGCATTCAAGAAAATTTTTTCTCAGAACTAAACTTATCAAACGAGCGAATTGCGCGGGAACCAGGGAGATAGGTAAAACAGTAAGTTGGTGAATGTAAGACAGCAGCCACCAAAAATAAGGTACAAAGTAGGTAAGGGAGGGTCCTATTCATGGCTGAGGTAACCACATGATGGGAAGAGTGGTCGGATTAAAGACGGAGTAACAACCTGTGCAAATTTGTGTTGGATGATGTCTGCATCCGTTCTTTGGCCAGTAAGGACCCTTTGACGCCGGAGATGACTCTTGAAAACCGAAAAACACCTTTTCGATCGGATTGAAATCGGGCGAATATGGAGGAAGATAGACCAGCAACACTCGGTATGATTCACAGATTTTGCTGATGTTGCCCCAGTGATGGATTTTGGCGTTATCGATGATTAGGACACTGTTTGGGCCTGGGAACGGGCTCATGTTTGGGAGCTAAAGTGAAATTTTTAATCAATGCCTGAAACTCTGAAATGCAGAACGTAGAACCAAGCTTACCAGCACTTCTTCAAGATAATATTCAAAGTCCAACCGGATCATGCTACCTTCTTGGACCATGACGCCAAGTGGTCCTGTCATCGATACAGCAGGGAGCAAATTCCATCTGATTCTCCCCCGCTTCGATGGAATCCTAACTGTGCGCTTGCCTTTTGGGGCCCAAGCCCTCAATCGTCGTTGGGTGTCGATACAAATCGCACTCTCGTCTATGAGTTGTTGATGCAAATGCTGTATCAGGATTCCAACAATCTATGTGAAAAACAAAAGTCATGAGAGGCAACTTACCCACAAAAACCAAGTATTCGGGAGGATACACAGACACCTCGATGGAACATGCGGCTCGTTTGATTGGGCACTGGGCCGGATGGACAGTTCGCGCGACCTTGAGGGTTTGGCCGAGTCTTTTGATCAGGAGATCATAAACTGTGCTTCGAGATAAGAGGACACCAGCTTCATCGACGATTTGGGATTGCAACTCGTCCAGATACAAAGATGAATCGGCCTTGAGGATATCTAGAACAAATTCAACCTGTTCCTTTTTCAGGAGCAGGGGTCTTCCTCGAGGTTGATACGTTGCCGGGTTGCGTATCACCGAGTGAGTTGAGAGAAAGAGAGATTTCCATCGGGCATACGATCGGTCAGAAACTGGATATCCGGTTATTTTGTTGATAGTGGCGGGAGAATGCCCGGAAAGAAGCAGTCGGACGCAGATGGCCTTCACCTCTGGGACGTAGAGCGCGTAGCCCATTTTCTTTGAGAGCAAAGTTCAATTTTAATGATTGTAACTATTATTGATAATTTTACATTGAAGACTCACCGGAAACGTTTGGAAGAGAAAATGGGAGGTGTGGGAAATGGGAAAAAAATCATGGATGGGGGAATGAGGGGAAACACCATTGCTTGTGACCGTGATGCCCTATCAGAAAGACACAGACTCATGTGTTCATGCTGGAACTTAACCTTGTCCAGATCACGAAGAGGATGGATCTGCACAACCAAGCAGCTGCATTCCAGGAGGGACTGCCATCCTTTTCTGGAATTGCTGTACTTACTTGTGAGGCAAAATCTGAGAATGGTGAAAAGAAAGTTTTAGTTTTGATGTAGAGTGAGTTTGATGGTAATTCAGTATAGCTGAATGCAAAAGAATCATGATTCATGATTGATTTTTCTGGATGGTTCCATAAAGTTACTGTTTGTTTTTGGCTACAGTACAGAGACAGCTGGAATGAGCAGTAAAAAAAGGAAGAGCGACCAAGTCAGAGGTGTTGTAACCCAAAAACCTTTGACTGGTTTGGGAGTCGACTCCCAAAAAAAAAATATAAAAAAAAACCATCCCCCGGTCAGTTTAGAAGTTGATCCTCCAAAACCGACCAGGGTTTGGGGGTCAACAAAGCGAAAGACCCACAGAAGCGGCCGGGAGGATTCTTCCCGGCCGCTGGGAGTACACTCCCGACAGCCGAGGGAAAACACCTTGGCCCTTGGCCGCTGAGAGTACACTCTCAATGGCCGAGGGTGTACCTCTCAGCCATCGAGGGTATACACCTCAATGGCTGAGGGTGTACCTCTCAGCCATCGAGGGTATACACCTCAATGGCCGAGAGGATTCCTCTTGGCCGTCAAGGGTAGAATTACACTCTCAGAATCCTCCCGGCCGCTTCGTGGTCCGTTTGCTTTGTTGACCCGCAAACCCTGGATCGTTTCGGAGGATGAACTTGAGGTGTATACCCTCAATGGCTGAGAGGTATACCCTCGGCCATCAAGAGTGTACTCTCAGCGGCCAAAGGCCGAGGTGTTTTCCCTCGGCCGTCGGGAGTGTACTCCCAGCGGCCGGGAAGAATCCTCCCGGCCGCTTCCGTGGGTCTTTTGCTTTGTTGACCCCCAAACCCTGGTCGGTTTTGGAGGATTGACTTCTAAACTGACCGGGGGATGGTTTTTTTTTAATATTTGTTTTTTGGGAGTCGACTCCCAAACCAGTCAAAGGTTTTGGGGGTTCGACTCCCAAAATTTGGGGATTCCGGGGCTTGGGAGTTGGCTCTCCACTTTTTGGGAGTCGTTTAACCAAGCCCCTTCTTTTAATATCTCATTCATTTTTCCCAAAAACCCATGCTTATGAAAGTGCTTTTCAACTTCCTACTGGTTTCATCTACAGTGTATGAATTTTGCTTGTCCCAGGGCACAGTGTGTGTGGAAGTGGCAGAGATAAATGACAGTCAGAAAGTTGAAAAAAGAATAAATTAGGGGGTATCAAATATGGGAAATCTACCATTGAAACCCAGTAAACTATCCAAAAATATGTTTCTTCACCAATGGGTCTCCAAAGGTGGAAGATGAATAACTACCATGTTTAAATAATGACAGGTTTTTGAACACCAGTCAATTGAATAATGGTGGATTTGTCTATATTTGATACCCCCTATTATTAGTTTATGTATAATGTAAGAAACATGTGAAAGCCATTACCTCTGTTTTGTGGTTTCCAATGTTGTTGGGTTTGAAGTTGTTGAAGTGATTGGCCTACCACTTGGGTATGTATTTACTATGTGCCAAGTTGTGCCCCCCCCCCAAATGCTACCCAATCAAGCCCATATCACACTTCCTAAATCCCTGATGGCAAACCTGTAAGCATGAATCTGATTCTGACCATTACTTGAAGGGGCTTGATAAAACATGCAATCATTTTTGTGGTTCTTTACTCCCAGGAGACATATTATTGTTACAGGAAAACATCTCCTTTGATATTTCTTCCCACCTGTGTCAATCCAATTCTTCCATTATAAATGGAGGAAAACTGGATTTGCTCCTCCATTTATAATGGAAAAACATGCAGAGCTGACTCCAGTCAGCTCCACCTCAAACCAGCCCACCCAGATCCCCTTCATTCAAAACCAGCTCACCCAGCTCCTCTTCATTAATCAAAACAGCTCTTCCAGCTCCCGCATCCCCATCAAAACCAGCTCTTCCAGCTCCCGCATCCCCATCAAAACCAGCTCATCCAGCTCATCCAGCTCATCCAGCTCATCCAGCTCATCCAGCTCATCCAGCTCACCCTGACCACTAAACTTACAGTAAACATTGAATTCTCAGTCCAGTCTTCATAGTCTAGTCAGCTAAGCCTGCCCTCCACCTCCCCTGTGTTGTGGGTTCAAGCCCCACCAGAAGCAACACCAATTTAGGGGTTAGGGGTCAGGTTAGGGGTCAGGTTAGGGGTCAGGTTAGGGGTCAGGTTAGGGGTCAGGTTAGGGGTCAGGTTAGGGGTTAGGTTTAGGGGTTAGGTTTAGGGGTTAGGTTTAGGGGTTAGGTTTAGGGGTTAGGTTTAGGGGTTAGGTTTAGGGGTTAGGTTTTAGGGGTTAGGTTTTAGGGGTTAGGTTTTAGGGTTAGGTTAGAGATCGTTCGTCCGTACTTTTTGCAGGTACCTGGTACCTCCTGGGGGGTACCCCTCGCACCCGCCCCGCACCCGCCAGGAGGTGCCAGGTGCGGTACTTGGTACCTATTTTTGTGAAAATTTGAACAGGTACCTAGGTACCTCTACAGGTACCCCCTCACTTCCCTACCAAAAATCAAAATGATGGTGGCCTTCTACTCCAAGAACTCCAAGATCCAAGAAGGTACCTTGGCTTCATGGAAACAGGGACTCAAGGATAACAAGAAGTCTAACAAAACATCAGAAAGGAAGGTGATGGTTTTGGATGACAATGAAGATTCTTCCAATTAGTTATAATTTGTAAATAGTTTAAACTTTGCAATTAATTATTAAATATGAACAAATGAAAAAAATGACTTGGGACTGATGTTTTACAATAAATATGAAAAAATAGAAAAGTAAGATTCTTCCAATTAGATGTAGATATATTACAACAGATATTAAAAAATGCCAAAAAATTGACTTGTGAGTGATATTTTACAATCAATATGAAGAAATAATAATAATAATAATAAAGTGACTTGGGACTCTGGGAGTGAAACTAGGTGAAAAAGAGAGGGGGGGTACCTGAGGTACCTGCAACAGGTACCTTGGGTACCCCCCGGGAGGTGTCTGGTGCGGTACATGGTATCTATTTTCTTGAAAAAATGAACAGGTACCTAGGTATAAACAGGTACCTAGGTCCGAACGAACGATCTCTAGGTTAGGTTTTAGGGTTAGGTTTTAGGGTTAGGGTTTAGGGTTAGGGTTTAGGGTTAGGGTTTAGGGTTAGGGTTTAGGGTTAGGGTTTAGGGTTAGGGTTTAGGGTTAGGGTTTAGGGTTAGGGTTTAGGGTTTAGGGTTAGGGTTTGGGATCAGGATTAAGGAAGCTGGAGGAGCTGGTTTTGATGGGGATGCGGGAGCTGGCAGAGCTGGTTTTGATGGGGATGCGGGAGCTGGCAGAGCTGGTTTTGATGAGGATCTGGGAG